AGCTGGTGATTTGCCCTGATTTACCAAATCCAGGTTGCTTATTCTTTGGTAAAGACTTCCAGTAGTCAACAACTAATACTACTTTTGACCAAACCTCTATTGCTTTCTTGGCAGCACTTTGATTTTCAGCCCATTGAGTACAACAAAACATAAGGAAAATCTGAACTTGTTGCCTCAGCCATTCTTTCATAATCACTTGCTCTTGATGGACTTTCATGAAATATTTGGTACATTAAAGACATTAACTTGTTTAAGTTCCAATCAGTAGCTTTAGCACCAATTTGTAAGGATCCATTGATAGTAAAACACAGGTACCAATACCGATGAGTGTACTTAATTCATTGTTATGAATTAATGTTATGCATTTCTAAAAATAGTTTATTTACATTAGGGCCATCCATAGAAACCTGAAGCATTTTTTCAGCATTTAAACCAGTCATGCAGGATTTAAACATATTTAAAATATCTGGGGCTGCAGCTTTTCCCTTGAAGTCTGAAGTATAATATCTTGTAAAAACAGTATTACTCTCTTCATTCCAATATCACACATGTCCATTTGACCTTGCTTTACAACTTTATTGTAATACTCATCAAAAAGACACACAAAGTTATCCAGCAGGTTAAGATCTTTTATAAGAATTTTTTTTAAATAAGGGGCAAGACCATGAGTTACAAAATATAGCCAGATTTTGTTTGACCACAAGAAAAGTTGCTGGCAATTTTGCTATCTGGAAACATGGAAGCAAATTGTTAAGACTTATTCTCACTTGATCTAAAAGAGTATTTACATTGAACAATATCTAAACACCAAACTAATTCTGCTATCAAAACTGCTTCCTTTTGAAGCATATCTGAAATGATACATTGTTTTGATGAGGTAGGCTTCTGTGGTACTAATTGCAAAGTTTCTTTGAACAAAACAACATAACACTCTTTAGGTAATCACTCTATGTGCTTTGCTCTTCTCGCATGTACATCAAGAGCCTTTATACCCATAGCTGCTATTGAGAATGACTTAAAACAAACTTTGCATCTTGCAAGGCTGGGATTTTTATCTTTCTGAAGCCAAGAAGTGTAACTATTATTATTATACCAAATATCCCAGAAATTACTTTTATATTTGGTCATCTAAAGGTAATTAGTGAAACATATAACAACTTTTTTAATATCAAGTTTGTATATCTTGCTAATGTTTTTTTTCTAAAGTATATATATTTAGCTGTAATTAAGTGTGTGTATATATATATATGTATATATATATATATATATATATATATATATATATATATATATATATATATATATATATATATATATATATATATATAGCTGTAATTAAAAAAGAGAGTCTATAGAACTTTTCATAAATAAACGTCCGCATTTCAAATCGAGGCTTAGGTTGTACCATTAGTAAACAAACAAAATATCTCATTACTTAAGCTTATCTTATGTTTCTTTTAATCTTGAGCTTTATTTGTTATTTTAAAACAACAAAAATGTTATTATCATCAAACACAAATAAAATTTCTTCACAGGAAATAGGTTTGTTATTTTATTTTAAATGTTTATTATTTACTATTTTATCACTTGTATATCAAAGTAAAATATAAAAAACATGTTGTAAAAAAATTACCTAAACTGAAGCTTATTTTTATCTACAAAATTTCGTAAACTTATGTAGTGTAGTTGACTTAATGTATTTTTGTGTTTTTAGATCCAACATTATTTGTTTTGAAAGAAGATGATATAGACGATCCAACTGTCAAAGTCGATTTAGAAAAATTACAAAAGTATACAAATAATCATTTAAAAAGGTGGCTTCTTTACCGTGGTGATTCTCTTAAAAGTGTAGCAACGTTGCGAGACTCTCAAGTTAAAGTTTTACAATATTTTCATAACGGAATGGATTCAATTATTTGTGATCCAACTCTTGATAAAAAATGGTTATCAAAAAAGGCATGTTTGATGGGTAAACATCTAAAAATACAAAATATAAAAACATTTCCTATATTGCCCAAAAATTTAAAATGTGAGCTTTTAAATTTGAATTCCAAAAATGGATGGAGCAAGTGTCTAGAGGGACTTCCTGCGTTTTCAGCTGAGAAAATTGATGCATATGCTTTAAATGTAAATAGTAATTTTTTTCCTAAATCTACAAAAGTTAAAAAACATTTGTCTAGAGGAGAAATGTTTCTTGAAGAACAATACATTGATCTATCTTCTATTCACTCAAAACAAAGTATTGAACTATTTTGTGTAAAATGAGTATGTGCAGCATGCATGAAAAAAGTTGACAGATGGATTTTTATTGCTATTAAAAAATTAGATGGATCAGTTACATTTGCATTTTGTGAATGCCCAGCAGGAAAAAATGGAACTTGTTCACATGCATTTGCAATGATGAAACTTGTTGCAAATTGGGTAGTTGAAAAACTGAAAACTGTTCCAAATATTCAAGCATGTACATCAAGAACTTGTGCTTGGTCAATGCCACAAAGTCATAAAAGATTTGATAAAACACCAATAAGTGACTTAAAAATTATATCACCACAAATAAAAAAAAAACCTTTGTCGAAAAGAAAAGTATCTTCATTTGCCACAATCAAATCATCATTGTACGATACTAGAACTGATTTAAACAGAAAAAGTGAAAATAAAATCAATGAGCTTTATAATAATCTTTTAAACAGTGATGTTAAAGTGCATATGTTGAATGTTTTGAATAAATCAAATGATGGAACAGTCAAAACAAGCTTAGGAAGCGTCCTATTTGGGTCTGCATTAAGCTATCAATGTGCTTTAGTTCCACCAAGTTACAATGTTTACTACAACTTACCTGAACCTTCAAAAAATTTAGACAGTGTTCAATACATTGAGTACCCTACATTCCCTTTTAATGAAATTCAATAACTTGTTACATTGAAAAAATCGTTTGTAATAAAAAAATGAATATTTTAGAAAATATGAAGTTAGTGAAAGAAATAGTTGTTCAAATCAAAAAAGAAACAGGGGAACAGGATGGAAATTCAAAATGGTTTGATTACAGAAGGAATCGATTCACTGCATCTTTATGTAATAAGTTAGAGAACAAATCTCCAAAAGGATTCGTAAGTTTGGCTCACAAACTTGTCTATCATGAAAACAAAATTAATCTAAACAATATTATTTCATATAAACTTTCTTATGGTAAATATTATGAACCTATAGCGTTAAAATATTATGAAAACTTTATGAAATCCAATGGCTATAAACTAGATGTAGAATCATGTGGTTTAGTAATTGATGAAAAAATTTTTATTTTGAGTGCATCACCTGATAGGAAAGTCAGGTGTGATAATGATTGTGGAATAATAGAAATTAAGTGCAGTGAAGAATATAGTAACCTAGACCCAAAAGATATATGTTTTGTAGCAAAAAATCAATCTATAATATTTGATAAATCTAATAATAAAATTTTAATAAACAAAAACCATAGTTATTATGATCAAATCCAAATGCAACTTGGATTAACAACACAAACGTGGTGTGATTTTTTATTTTACACTTCAAAAGGATTAGTTATTGATCGTATTACGTATGACAAAGTATATTGGGAGACTCTAAGGAAGAGAGTATTAGACTTTTACTTCAACTATATGTTGGATGAAATAATTGAAAAAATAAATAACAATGCTTTAATTTGAAGACAAATATTTTATTGAAATTTGCAGATTCTATTGTACAGTATATACATTTATAAACTTACACAAACACTTACAATAGAGTGTTTTGGTGAGCAAAAAGTGAGCTAACGTAAGGAAAATTTTCACTATTTTATAATGAAAAAGAAGAAGGAAAAGGAATAATAATGAAAAAAATTTGATCCCTGCCCTAACCCAAACCCTTGAATATGTTATTAATTCCCTTGCAGGTTCTCCCTAAATCAATTGATGTATGTACTAAAGCCCTCACCCTTCCCTAAATTAGTGTGACATACTATTGCTAACCAAAATATACAATATTATATATATATATATATATATATATATATATATATATATATATATATATATATATATATATATATATATATATATACATATATATATATATATATATATATATATATATATATATATATATATATATATATATATATATATATATATATATATAATATATGTAATATATATAATATGTATAATATGTATAATATATATAATGTATATATTATATACAATATATATAATATATATAATATATATATAATATATATAATATATATATATAATATATATATGATGTCACACTGATTTAGGGATAAGCGAGGGCTTTAGTACATATATTGACTGATTTAGGCAGAACTTGCATGGTAGTTAATAACACATCGAAGGGTTTGGGTTGGAGCAGGGATCAATTTTTTTCCATTATTATTCTTTTTCCCTCTTCTTTTTCTAATAAATGTCACTTAAATAAAGGTAACATATTTTATCACTTTTTGCTTATCTTTATATACATGTATATATATATATATATATATATATATATATATATATATATATATATATATATATATATATATATATATATATATATATATATATATATATATATATATATATATAAAAGAAATCTATTTGTAGTTCTTTATGATATATATAAATGTTCAATTCAATGTTAAATTTTTGTTGTTCTCTCAATGCATTTTTATTCATTAGTTTCTATCTGCGTTTTTATAATAGGCTCATGAAAGTTAGTTAAAATTCCACAAACTGTAACTATTTGATTGAGAGAACCAATCATGTTTAGAGAAATAACTCTATCAAATATATGAAAACATTTTAATCTTTGAATCATTCTCTCAACATGAATGCGCTCACTTGCAATTTGCTGACTTTGTATCACCTCTGTTTCAGTGAATTGTTCGCGACTTTGAAGAAATGATGGAATAATTAATTTAACTCCGAGTGGACTTAAATAATCTTGTATAGTAAAACCTCTATCTGCCGTAACTTCTTCACAGTGATTCCATAAAGTTGGATTTAAAAGTCCACTTTTAATCGTTATTTCTTTATCTGATATACTCCCAGGGTAAGCAGCAGATATAAAAGTAAAACCACCTCCTGGGGCAATGCCAACTAAAATCTTTACAGTTGTGTGACTTTTATAGTCAGAATAGAGCAATTTATGTACAGTCAATGAGGTACAGCTACTTTTATTTCAAGACAATCAATGATGCATTTAACATTGGGAGATTTATCCTTCATTGACTGAGGCATATTTAGTTTTACTTGAGTTAATGTAGGCCATATGCTAAGACTACCCAGCCTTATATACATAAAGTTCAACCATGTTATAACAGTGTTACTTACAGTTCCTTCACATACGGAAAAAAGAAATGTTAAATGTCTTATGTCATAATTTCTTCTTAATCGCACTAAAGTTAATAAATATACTTCTAATGGTAACAGAATTCGATTTCTCCCCCTATTTTCATTTTCTTGTGAATGCTTACTGTTGTATAAGATAAGGTTTTCTCCATTTTCTCCAGGGTCAAGATATATAAAAACTGCATCAAATGTTTTTCGATTCGGAAATCCTGTGTAATGTTTTAATTCTTTTTCACATGATAGAACATTCTCAACAAATTTATTTCCTTCATTAGATATTGTTTCTTTTATTTTTTTATTTTCATTTTGCAAATGTTTCATTTTTAATTTGCTTGAAAGGAGTGATTCTCTATTTGAGCTACTACTTGTTTTGTTAAGAACATTATTGTCAGGCAAAACTATACTTTTAGGAGGAGATTGTCTATAACCAGGTGGTTTTCTTTCTTTTTCACTAGTTTTGAAATTATTCCAGCTATGATGTGATGGTTTAGCACCTTTCCTTAAAAAACATCTCGTTCCTCCAGCAGCTCTTAAAATGTCCTGCGATTTAAAATGAGAGTAGTATAAATATGATGAGTTAGTAACATTAAAACCATCTAAACCATTTTTACGTTTTATCAAGTTGCACCAAAGACAAATTTCATTTTTATCTTTTGGAAAATGAAAGAATTTAATGCCAGAAGTCTTTCGCTCTCCAAATTCGATAATATAGCTTCGATTGAAGCAATTATAGGCAGCACATTGTTTGCCAGATGATTTTCTTATAGGTTTTTTATTAGAAGCCATTTGTTTTGTTTACAAACGGTACAACCTGAGCCTCGTTTTGGAATTATGCGGACGTTTATTTATAAAAAGGTCTATTAAATACTAAGACTCTTCCCTTAAAGCGTGGTGTTCACTTGTAAAGAAAACAAAATAAAATTATTTAAAGAAAGTGAAAGTCAAATACAAAAAGCCAAAAAAAAACATAAAAAAACTTACTCTAATACTCGGAGGGCTGATATATGATATACATATATGATATATATGTGGTATATATATATATATATATATATATATATATATATATATATGTATATATATATATATATATATATATATATATATATATGATATATATGTGGTATATATATATATATGATATATATATATATGATATATATATATATGATATATATATATATGATATATATATATATATATATATATATATATATATATATATACACACACACACACAGATAAGAGGTAGGCAGTATAAATATTGGGCAGTAACATAAAATATTTTACCCAGTCTGGTGCTTCTCCATGCAACTGTCGAAGTTTTCTAAGATTTAAAATAAAAATATTTAAAAAAAAAATTATATAAAAAATATATATGCATATAAAAAATAAATTTAATAGTTTATTTAACATTGATACAAATATATGTATATAATGTATATAAATATAGCAAATATTTATATACATTGTCGGGTAGAGATTATTATTTTATTGACATTTTTAAAAACGTATGATTAAATCTTTTAGAAGAGCAAAAATGCAAAGTGTAAAAGATAAATAGTTAAAAAGATAGCATAAAGAAGCTTGAACAACAGGCAAACAGGACGTCAAAAGTCTATTAAAAAGTGTACTTTTAGTTGTACCTTAATAAACAAGAGCATTTATAAATATTTAAAACAAAATAAAACATAAAACAAAAATTTATAGAAATAATATTAACTGATAACAAAACTTCATTTAGAATACAAACTATAATAACAGGTGATGCATAGTTATCATAATCATCAAACAAAATAATTACAGATAAAAAAAGGTCAGTAATATTATGCATAATTATCAAACAAAATAAAAAATTTAATATCATAATTTTTGATTTGAGACCTTTTATAAACAACCTGGGTTGGGGTCAAATACGTATTTGTATTTGTCAACTAATGTATTTAATGTATGTATTTAATGTATGTATTTGATGTATTTAAAAACTTGAAAAAAAGTTTTAAATAGGCTCCTAAAAACTTCGTTAAAAAAGTTCAGTAAATTAAGAATGCAGTAGTCCACAAGCTTTTAGAGCATTGTCAATAACAGTAGTTCATCAGGAAATAAACTCTCAGGTTTAAATGCATAATTTGGATGATCCAATAAAATTGCAAACTATTTCAATGGGGTTAGTGAAGACAACCAAATATTTTATATTTGAACATTAGTACTTATGACCTATAATTATTTTACCTAAAAAATTTGTTAAAAAAATGTATTACAAAAAAATATCAATTAGTTTTCAAGCTTTCCTGTGCATTGATAAAAATAGTAAAGTTTTAACAAAAACATTTGAAAAACAAGTTTTAAAATTGTCCTTATTTCTAGCATAAACAATAAAGTGTTTCCTTAATATACTCACTGACAAAAGTTTTGAATAAATTGTATATCAAAAAATATTTTTGTTTTTGTTATATACTTAACTGTTCTTTTCCTCAACTTCAGGTCAGGTCAGGTCAGGTTTTCCTGCTACTGGTAACATGTAACCCAGTACAACCTGCTCCATGTCCTGCTGCCTTGTAGGATACGCTTTTTTAGGCAAAGGCTAGGAGAAGTTAACTCCGAATTAAAACACCCCCTGCCTTGGGGCTCTTGGTTGAGTAAAGGCTAGAGATGGTGTCTCGATAAAAATACTCATCTTGGGCAGATGTTACATGCATCCAGCTGCTGTCTTGTAGAAGGCCTCCTAGGCAAAGACTTAAGGGGTAAACAGATTCTATCTGTTGACCAGCCTCGCACCCCTTCCTCATCTATTAGGCTGGCGCAGATGTATTTTTAATACATTGTTTCCAGTTTAGGATGTTGAACGCTGGATCTTCTTGACTCAATGCGTGGGTATTGCTTGTGTCTCTATTTTTATGACTGGGCAACTCACTCTATTATCTCCTAATGAGGGTACAGCAGTAAAACTCAGTTTTATGGTTCTGAGGCCGGCTGGTAGTCTGGTTTCCCGAACTCTGTGGTAGCTCTCAGAGAGGCTGATTCCATCAACAGCCGAAAAATATCAGAGTACTAACAGTGCCATGTTGCGCATGGATGGTGTCCCTGTTTGTACTTTTGGTGTGCATTGCAGAGGCCACATTTGGAGCCCTTTGTTACGGCTTAGGGTTTATTAATAGTAATGAGGCTATTGCTTAGTTGTTAAATAGTGTACTGAGTACTATCTATACTTAAGTCAAGTTCTTTATAAATTTAAAATGACTAAAGTACCTAAAACTAAAAAACACAAAAAACCATCGTCATCACCAAGTTCTCTAAACCTATCATTTACTAATATTCGTGGTCTTCGAAGTAACTTTTCTTCTGTTGAGTCTTATCTCTTGCAAAGTTCACTAGACCTACTTGCTCTTTGTGAGACTAATTTGAGTTCGGCTGTCCCATCTTGTGATCTTAGTGTTGATGGTTATCTTCCTTTAATTCGTAAAGACTCCAATAATCACATGCTTGGCCTGGGCATCTACATTCGTAAGAACTCACCCATTTGTCGTGAAACTAGGTTTGAATCTACAGACTATTCATTTATGTGCTTTCGTTTAGCACAACTTCACTCTATCGCCTTTCTCTTTGTTCTATATCGCTCTCCTTCATCCCAAGATTGCACTATTCTTGATGTTATTTCTGATCAAATTGACCAAGCCCTCTCTCTTTATCCATCGGCCAATATCGTCGTTGTTGGTGACTTTAATGCCCATCACACCGATTGGCTTGGCTCTAGTGTCAGTGACTCTGCTGGCGTTAAGGCCCTCAACTTTTGCCTTTCTCAATCTCTAACTCAAATAGTCAACTTTCCAACTCGTTTTCCAAACAACCCTAATCATTTACCTTCTCTACTCGACTTATGTCTTGTTTTGGATCCTAGTCAGTGCTCAATTTCTCCACATTCACCCTTAGGTACTTCTGATCACGGTTTAATCTCTCTAAAACTATTATCAAATTCTTCTACTTCATCAGAATCCCCCTATCATTGTACCACATACAACTATCTTAAAGCTGACTGGGACTCTTTCCGTGATTTTCTTCGTGATGGCTCTTGGGTAGAAATCTTTCGTCTTCCTGCTGACAAATGTGCTTCTTACATAACTTCGTGGATTCAGGCTGGCATGGAATCTTTTATTCCCTCTTGACAATTCCAGGTCAAGCCTCACTCTTCTCCTTGGTTTTCCTCACATTGCGATTCAGCAATTTCTAATCGAAACCATTACTTCCATATCTATCAGCAAAACAATTCTCCAGAAAACAGACATCTGTTCACTATCGCCAGAAACTATTGTAAAAAGGTTTTGTCTGACGCCAAAGCTCGCTATTCCCAGGTCATTAAATTTCGTATCTCATCACAAAAATTAGGCTCTCGAGACTTCTGGAGAATCTTTAACAGTATCAATAATAAGGGCAAATCTGTTATTCCTTCTCTCTTGTATGGTTCAGACTTTGTCACCTCACCTAAAGACAAAGCTGAATTGTTTGCTAAGAACTTTTCATCAATATCATCTCTTGATTCCACTAGTTGCGTTTTACCTGACATAGCCGTCAAACAGGTTGATCCCTTGCTTGACATTCGCATCACTTCAGCTTCTGTATCTAAAGTAATTTCCTGCTTAGACTCTTCAACAGCTTGTGGTCCTGACAACATTCCTGTTGTAGTCTTGCAGAGGTGTTCTCCGGAGCTTTCATCCATACTTTCTAAACTATTTAACAAGTGCTTATCAGAGTCTTGTTTTCCATCATGCTGGAAAGCAGCATCTGTTATCCCTATTTTCAAAAATTCCGGAGAGGGATCTGATTCATCTAACTACCGTCCCATTAGTCTTCTTCCTGTCATAAGCAAGGTTTTTGAATCTTTAATCAACAAACACTTAATCTCTCATCTTGAATCAAATAACTTACTTTCTGATCATCAATATGGATTTCGGTCTTCTCGTTCTACAGCTGATGTGCTAACAGTAATAACCGATAGGTTTTACCGTGCATTAGATAGAGGTGGAGAGGTTAAGGCTATCGCACTTGACATTTCTAAAGCTTTTGATAAAGTTTGGCATGCTGGTCTTCTCCATAAGCTTTCTTCTTATGGTGTAGCTGGTAACGTCTTTAAGATTATTGAGTCCTTTCTTTCCAATCGTAGTATAAAAGTTGTCCTCGATGGACAACACTCTTCTTCACATCCTGTAACTTCAGGGGTTCCTCAAGGTTCAATCCTTGGCCCTATACTCTTTTTAATTTACATTAACGATCTTCCAGATATTCTCACATCTAAGGTGGCTTTATTCGCTGACGACACTACCATTTACTCTTGTCATGATAAGAAGCCTACACTCTCTGATTGCTTGGAGGGGGTATCTGAGCTTGAAAAGGATCTCACTTCTGCTACAGCATGGGGCTCACAGTGGCTGGTGAACTTTAATTCAGATAAAACTCAATTTTATTCGGCCAATCGTTATCGTAATAATTTAGATCTTCCTATATTTATGAATGGTAATGTACTAGATGAGTCATCTACCATTCATCTTCTAGGATTAACTCTTACTTCTGATCTTTCTTTTAAACCGTATATCAAATCCATTGCAAAATTAGCATCTGCTAAGGTTGCATCTTTTTATCGAGCTCGACACTTTCTTACTCCAGATTCTATTCTCTATCTCTATAAATCTCAAATCCGTCCCTGTATGGAATACTGTTGCCACATCTGGGGCGGATCTTCTAATGATGCTCTTTCTCTTTTAGACAAGGTGCAAAAACAAATTGTAAACATAGTTGGACCTGCTCTGGCAGCCAATCTCCAACCTTTGTCACATCGCCGTAATGTTGCTTCTCTTTCTCTTTTCTACAAATACTATAATGGGCACTGCTCTAAAGAGCTAGCGTCCCTTGTGCCATCTACTAAAATTCATTCTCGTGTTACTCGCCATTCAATTAAGTCTCATCCTTTTTCTGTGACTGTTCCTAAGTGCTTCAAAAACTCTTATTCTTCTAGTTTTTTTCCTCGAACATCAGTTCTTTGGAATTCGCTTCCTTCATCTTGCTTTCCTGATTCATATAATTTGCAATCTTTTAAGTCATCAGTCAATCGTTATCTTGCTCTACAGATTTAGTCTTTTCTCTTCCAGTAACTTTCAACTCTTATAGTGGTTGCTTGCAGCCTTGTTGGAAGTGAAGATGTTAAAAAAAAAAAAAAAAAAAAAAATGTATTTGTATTTGTATTTGATCAAACATTTTTGACCCCAACCAACTGTAAACAACTGTAAAAACTAAAATCAACATCTTTTAGTTGTTTTTTTTGATGCAATCAATTAAGACTTGCTCTGTTGAAACAATCAATCAAGACTTGCTTTGTTGAAACAATCAATCAAAATTTGCTCTGTTGAAACGATCAATCAAGACTTGCTCTGTTGAAACATGCCAACCTCCATCATGCCAACCTCCATCATGCCAACCTCCATCAAGCTGAATGTCCTATAAGTTCTAAGTTGACTATGCTTGCAAATCATTTAATGGATAGAATTTCTTATTAACATTCATCCATCCCAATTAAAAAATCTATAAAACAATGAGAACTTGCTAAACCTGATCAAAATATAGAAGCCATTTGTCTCTATAGCCTTGGAATCACAAAACTTAGCTCTGAAAGCACCAACCATATCACAGTGAGATACAAAATGACAGTAAGATACAAATATACACAATAAAGTTTTCAGAAATTTTGCTATAAAGCAAACACTTACTTTGTTAAGCATATTTTTTAGTTTGAGTATTATCCAAAAATTCCATGCACATAAAAAATATTTTTCATCATTGATGATCAGAAGTGATTTCATGTTGTAGAGCTGGTTAACAGGTTTTTTGATTTCCTTTTTATTCATTGCTTGTTTAATATTTTATTCAATTGTTGTTCAATATTTAAGTCTTAACACATTTTCTGTATTGAAGATTTTTTTATTTATTCAATTAAGTTGTTTTGTCAATTAATTTCCACCAAATTTAGGTATCAAAGAAATTTATGATTTAGCAAGCAACTTTCAGATGTGGCAAGAAATACAAGCCATTTTTAACTTCAAAAATGATGGGCATTAATCTCTACAAGAGGGAAAAAAACATTAAGATGATGGATATTGTAATCATGATGCAATCAAGATTATGGACATTAATCTCAACAAAAAAAAAATTTTTTTTGTAGAGATAAATGTGCATTTATCAATTTAGGTAGCTGTTCCTAATTTAGCCACTATGCTAAACTAGTCATGAATTTGTACAAAGAAAATAGCATTGAATTCATACCTAAAAAATTACAATCCACCATCAAAACCTAAACTTAATGAGAAGCTTCAAGCCAAGCGATTGTATGCTTTCTTGCTGAAGTGAGCAAGTAATTTATATTATGTTAAAATAAATAAGAAAAAGTCCTCAAAATTTAATTGGTGTCCAAATACGGTCGACGCTGTGGAAAATGGTCTAGAATAGCCTCTGTATATGTATATATATATATATATATATATATATATATATATATATATATATATATATATATATATATAGAGAGAGAGAGAGAGAGAGAGAGAGAGAGATACACATATATATATAAAAATTGTATGCTTTGGCAACCAGTCTGACATCATACTGAAATAGAGGGATGCTGGGGGCATCAGTACAAACATTGACTGACTAAATAAGGAAAACATGAAAATAATGCTGCTACATTGACAAAGGGTTTGGATTAGGACAGCAATCATTTATTTTAGTTTTTTTTCTCTTTCCGAAAAAATAAAACAAAAACAAAAAAAAAGCAAAAAAAGTTGTCATTTATATACATTTACATTTATATACGCTATAGTAGATAAATATATATATATATATATATATATATATATATATATATATATATATATATATATATATATATATATATATAATATGTAAATACCCCATTACTGTAGAACTAGGTGTATCCATAGTATAATCTTGCTGCATTACTTCTTGAGTTGATTTGTGAAAACTATTTTGATGCAACCAGTTCAAAGTACTTTGATCTTTAAAAGGTGTACTGGCAGCCAAAAAAAAACGAGCTGAAAGACGAGAATCTTGACTATCCATTTCTTGCACTTTCTAAAAATTATTGAATTAAAGATTATTAAACAAATATTAAACCACAACAATCAAAAAATGTTTACAAATAAAATATTATGTTCAATGCAATTTAATTTTTCCCTAACAGTGATATGATAATAACCAGTGACATTAATTTTTTAAGACTTATACTATTAAAGGTTATTACAACTAAAATAAGCAATAAATAAATCTATAAGTTATTTTTATAACTGAAATAAATTAAGAAAAAAAAAACCTCGGACAAACTTGATTGATTTGTGACTCCTGAATCACTTGTACTTGTCACTGAAGCCTGTTGCATCTGAATATATGAAGAAAATTGTACTTGGCGCTCCTGGCTTGAAGAACCACCAACAGGTCTTTCACGGTCTAATGTTTTAAAATATATAATTTGCAAAAGTAATACTATTTTACAAAATACTATTTTATTTGTGATAACAATCAGTTGGCATCATTTTCTTTAGAAAAAAATATTTATTTGTAAAAAAACTAAAAATAATTCTCAAAAAATTGTTTTTAACAAAAAAAAAATTGCTTTTAATAATGTTAACATTTTCTATAATTTGAAATAACAAAAAACTAGGAATAACATGGGTTTGGAGAGCTAAAAAAAAACAACAACATGGATTCAGCTAAAAAATCCTTTCTTATAATTTAATGTAAAACTTTTTTTTTTATTTTGCTTTATGTTTTGAAACAAAAAGTGCTCTTTTTTTTAACCAGAAAAACTTTACAGTCATGTGACATTGAAAACTTTACAGTCATGTGACATTGAAAACTTCACAGTCATGTGACATTGAAAACTTCACAGTCATGTGACATTGAATTGGAAGTATTTAAAAATAACAATATTTTTTTTATTCTTAATTTTTATTTTCTTAAACATTAAATTTGATGAAATAGATAAGTTTACAAAGTTTAGACCTGGAAATTTTGCTTTATTTATAAGTTCTTGATGAATATTCCTCCATAAACCTTTTGCATGCCAAAAAGGTCCATTAATATCATTTGCTTTTTGTGTTTTAATATTGTTTATATTGTTATTAATTTTTTTTATTATTGTTATATTATTATAGTTTAACTTTTCATAATTACTACTATTATTGATATCTATATTACATTTATTGTTTTTATAATCACTATTTTTATTATTTTTTATTATTTGTTTACTTTGAACTTTTATTTAGAAATATATTTGATTTGATTCTTATTTAATTTGATTGTTTAATCAATTAAAATATGGCCCTATATAAAATAGTCCATAGTTGTATTATTTGGTGAATTTAGTGTCCACAATAAAATTGATTCTTTTTGGTCAGGTAAAAATTTATTGGTTGGTTCTACTCTACTTGAATTATTCTTGGACAAATATTAGAGATATTAATCTTATAGCACAAATTCCATCTTGTACCTCACCCCGTACCTTAACAGCTTTTTAGAAACTTTTCTTTTTATAATAGTGTATTCTTATTGCGTTTGATATTTATGTAAATATAATTGGATTTTTTATCACAGTTAGACGGAATAGTTTTTCATCTTTTGTAATGATATTTGTCCAGTTTTTCCTAAGCAACTCATAAAGTCTTTCTGATCTTCTTTTGATCGTACCAGGAGATAATGCATGTACACATCCTTTTAAAACTTTTTTAAAATTAAATATTTTATCAATATAACATTTAATTGACTTTTTTGATCTTAAACATTTCCAGATAATTCAGAATTAGTCAGTGGATTGTCTTTTTTTAATAAGTTTTTCGTCTGTAAAATTTTTTGTGAATTTAATAGTTGTTCAGCTATTTTGCCATTTTTAATTCTCGCTACATTTATTTTTAATTCTCACTACATTTATTTTTAATTCTCACAAATTTTATTTTTAATTCTCACTAAATATATTTTTAATTTTCACTACATATATTTTTAATTCTCACTACATTTATTTTTAATTCTCACTACATTTATTTTTAATTCTCACTACATTTAGCGATTATTGAAACTTTAAAATATTCCTTTTCTAATAATTTCTTAAATATTCTATACCAATATCCAACTTGTACCAAAGATAAAATGTACTTTAATATTTTCTTGATTTTTTTTTGTACAATTTTTTTATTATAACACTACTTTAAATGTTTGATTAATTGATAATATAATATAAATAACTAACTATTATTTAATTAAAAAGTAATTTCTAAAGTTTTTTTTAGTTCAGTATCACATGACACATCACATGACTGTTTAGTAAAAAGAAATCAAAAATGCCAAACAAAACCCAACTTTATGAAAAAAATCTTAAATTAGTAAAAACTGATCATCATCATTATCGTTCATTAGATGTCACCACCTTTACCTTTTCTAGCATACATTCCTAGCAACAATCTTTCATACATTCTTAGCAACAATATTTCCAATATCAGAGTAACCATCTAACATATAAATAAGTAAAAGATAGAGATTACCACTATAAATCAACATAAATATCAGTTGGTATCATTTGGTTTTGTATATCTTTTGCATCAAGTTTTTTTAATGTAAATAATGATTTAATTTTAAATATAGATATAAATAAACGGTCAGATTCTGTATTTCTATTTGGCATTGCCAAGTCAAGAAATGAAATGTGTATTCTCAAAAAACCTTTCAACTTTATTTAAGTTTACCTATATTATCAAATTAATAGAAAAATAATTGTTTAAATATTTTTTATGTTTTGATATACTACATGCATATATATAAATTCAAATATATAAATACTACATGCATATATACATGTATATATATATATATATATATATATATATATATATATATATATATATATATATATATATACATATATATATATATATATATACACACACACAATATACACATATACATACACACGCACACAAACATGTATTAGCTATATAAAAAAAAATCATACTTGTAGGAGTGATTTGCTCGTCAGAGTTGTTTGGTCGATTAAAGTTTGAATTCGTAACCAAATGTGAGCCTTAGAAAGAAACTCATTTGTTTAAGTACAAATATAGAAAGTATTTAGAATCTTAAAAAATATGTATTAATCTCTCATTGATCCTAATGTATTTTAAAGATTCCAATAAATGTTAAGAAAGACAGTACTCATAATGAAAAACAAAATTGCACACAAAATACACATAGTCTTTGAGAGATAATAATAATTGCAATGTTCTTACACTTGGGAGATAATGATAATTAACAATGAATAACAAATTAAACTAGTGTAAAAATTTATCTTAATAGTATATAATATATTTCTGAAATCTACATAATTAATTCTATGAACTATATAATAATTTTAACTAAATGTGCCTTTACCTAAAGATGGTTAAGTATTACTACATATAAATAAATGCATACATATATATATATATATATATATATATATATATATATATATATATATATATATATATATATATATATATATATATATATATATATATATATATATATATATATATATATATATATATATATATATATATACAAAAAGGAATTTCAAAAGTTTTTTTTTAGTTTAATATCACATGACACATCACATGACTGTACTATAAAAAGAAATCACAAATGCCAAACAAAACTCAACTTTATGAAAAAAGTCTTAAATTAGTAAAAACTGATGTAAAAATCTGTGTGTGTATATGTGTGTATATAAAATAATATATTTAACTATTATTTGTGAATATTTATCAGCTATTATATCTTTTGTAAATAAATGTTTATCAATATATATGGTAAACATACTTTAGACAAAATCAGTAGTCAATAGATAATTCGGTAATGTGTGCCTTTTTATTACCTCTTATAGACACACCTCCATCGCCACCATCTCCACCTCCAGTATCACTATAACTGTTTCCACTGCTTCCATCACCCAATCCACCTCCATCACCATCTTCTTCTTGCCCAGTATCCCTACCTTCAGCAGTTTGACGCTCTACATAAATTAAAAATATGTCAAGTTTAAAAATTTAAATTTTGTTTTAAATATTTTTAATATTTAAATATATGATTTTAAATACTTTTTTATATTTAAATACATTATTTTTAATATTTTTAATATTTAAATATGTGATTTTAAATATTTTTAATATTTAAATATGCCCTTTTAAATATGTGATGCTCTACAGTGAAATCATCTTAAATACTTTAACAAATGATTAGAATTGTGTTCAAAACTAGCCAATCTTTAATTCATTAACTCTAATATTTTGCAGAACACAGTAAACTAGTATTGGTTAAAAAAAAAAGTATATAAAAAATTAGTGCATGCAAGAAGTATTAAAAAAAAAAAAAAGCTTAATGCATCCTTATCACATTGTAATGCAAAAAAGTCTTCATATAAAGAACAAATATTCACCAAAATAACTAAGAACAACATCATTTTCACATGATTTTGTAAGCAAAGGAAACACATAGAAAATTGATTTTTATTAACTATTTTGAAGGATAATATATCAGAATGTTTTCAATGTTAACTATGACTTTTTACTAACTTATTTAGAATGACTTTTTTTTATTGTTTTAAATAGTGAACTATAAGTTAAAAACAGCTCACAAAATTTATTTTGTAACTTAAAATATTTAAAACAATATTTATATTTATATTTTTGTGAGTAAAAATATTTGTTTAGACTGAAATTGATCAAATGAAATTAAGTTGAAGCTGATGATAAGTTGAAAATATTTTTTTGAAGAATTACTTTAATTGATGAAAGAAAATTTTTTTAAATAATAACTTTATTTTTTTTAATAACTATAAAACTGATGTAATACCTTATTGATAAATAAATTTCCTAAGACTAAAAAAGTAATAAACGAACAAGTAAAAAAACAAATTAAAATAAATAAAAGCGAATACAAATAGTAAAAACTAATTAACAGTAAAGTTCTTTTCATTTAGAGACTTAAACCAATTGTTTTAAAAAAAAAATCTGACTATTAATAAATGCAATTTTAAAAAGATTTATTTGTTAATAATGGTTGCTAATACAATATTTGTTGTTTTTTATGGTTTTCTATCTTTCATTTTTTAAAATAATCATAACTTTTAGATAAGACTCATAATTTAGTCATCAAAAGATAGTTCATTTTTAAATAGCTCGGTCAAAATAATTAACTTTTTTATGTTGTTTTATATTTGAATTCAGTGGCAAAAAAATAAAATATCAATAAACTTTGAAAAGGCTAAGGGGAAAAAAATGTGTTAAATTGTGTGATTCTAAGATGTAATTAGCTTCAAAATCAGTTGCACTGAAAAACGCTGTAAAAAATGATATTGGAGCAGAGTATCAAAATCTTTAAAATTGTAAACTTTACAATTGTAATAGTAATTGTAATGTCCATAAAGGACTAAAATTAAGATTGAAGATTTTTTCATTAATTATTTTCATTAATTAATTATAAATTAATTTATGCAAAAAAATTCAAAGAATCAAAATCTGTGTTGAAAATTACTTTTTGGTTGACATGACTACTGCCTATTCAAACTTTTTTTGGTTGACATGACTACTGCCTATTCAAACTTTTTTTGGTTGACATGACCCTACTGCTTATTCAAACTTTTTTTGGTTGACATGACCCTACTGCCTATTCAAACTTTTTTTGGTTGACATGACTACTGCCTATTCAAACTTTTTTTGGTTGACATGACTATTGCCTATTCAAACTTTTTTTGGTTGACATGACCCTACTGCCTATTCAAACTTTTTTTGGTTGACATGACCCTACTGCCTATTCAAACTTTTTTTGGTTGACATGACCCTACTGCCTATTCAAACTTTTTTTGGTTGACATGACTACTGCCTATTCAAACTTTTTTTGGTTGACATGACCCTACTGCCTATTCAAACTTTTTTTGGTTGACATGACCCTACTGCCTATTCAAACTTTTTTTGGTTGACATGACTACTGCCTATTCAAACTTCTTTTGGTTGACATGACTACTGCCTATTCAAACTTTTTTTAGTTGACATGACTACTGCCTATTCAAACTTTTTTTGGTTGACATAACCCTACTGCTTATTCAAACTTTTTTTGGTTGACATGACCCTACTGCCTATTCAAACTTTTTTTGGTTGACATGACCCTACTGCCTATTCAAACTTTTTTTGGTTGACATGACCCTACTGCCTATTCAAACTTTTTTTGGTTGACATGACTACTGCCTATTCAAACTTTTTTTGGTTGACATGACCCTACTGCTTTTTCAAACTTTTTTTGGTTGACATGACCCTACTGCCTATTCAAATTTTTTTTGGTTGAAATCACCCTACTGCCTATTAAAATTTTTTTTGGTTGACATGACCCTACTGCCTATTCAAACTTTTTTTGGTTGACATGACCCTACTGCCTATTCAAACTTTTTTTGGTTGACATGACCCTACTGCCTATTCAAACTTTTTTTGGTTGACATGACCCTACTGCCTATTCAAACTTTTTTTTTGATAAAAGTTAAAACTAGAACTATTTCAGAAAAAGTTTGAAATGATTTTTATGAACTAATTAGTTGTTTTTTGAGTCAAAGTATTTTAAAATTAGATCACAAACAGTTTGATGACTTTTTGGGATATTATTACCTTAAAGCACAAAATGCTGATCTTAAAACTTGACCATTAACAATGGTTCTAAAACTTATTCTATCAATAGCAGTTAAAAATATCTATTTTACGCTTCATTTTTCATTTGTCTTGCGGTGATGCACACTGATTGACTCAAAAAATTCAACTTTGTTTTACATTTTGATTATTGTAGTTCTTGAGCAAGATCAAAATCAAATCTTCTTTCAGATGCAATTTTTTCTTTAAAATTAGCCACTGAATTCAAAAATCAGATATGTTTTGATGTAAGTTTTTATTTGTGCTTAATTTTATACTTTCTTGATATAAGATAAAATCTCCCAGTATGTTGTATTAATCTATTCTAATACTGTAAGGATAATTACATAACACATAGCACTTTTTTGAATTTTAAAAGATATTAAAAGAAGATTTACATTAAAAAAAAGATTATAAAATAAAGAAATAAGTAACAAGCAAATATTTGTGAAATCCAATGATATAAAGTATTTTCACTTCTCATTAATGTAAAAAAAAACTTAATTAGCCATGCAGAGATTGAAATAGATAAAAATACAACAGTTTGCCTGCACTATGAATATACTTGCCTTAAGTGTTACTCTACAATCCACATAACTTGTTGTGATTTATTTTATTTACATGACTATTTAACCATAAAATTTTTCTAATTATAAGTTAAAAGCATTTTTAGCAAATTATTCACTGAAACATACGAATATGCTTGATATTTGAAGTTTTTCATTCATGTTATTAGAAAAGTTATGCCTTTTATTTCATCAAATTAATATCATTTTAGGATAACAGACTAAATAAACCAACTTGCAGCTGGATTTATGAAGATAAAGATAATGAACTTACTATAAACAAATTTTTAAAAGAAAATTGTAATTCTTCATTGACCTCTATGAACATAAGTTCTCTTAAAATATGACCTCTATGAATATAAGTTCTCTCAAAATATGACCTCTATGAAAATACTTTCTTTTAAAATGCATGCTGTGACTAGTCACTCAAGACTTGCTTTCAGTATTAAAAATTATTACAAGTTCAACAAACAGTAAATCACCCTGTGATGTTATTGGGGGTCTGTGAAAAGACTAACTTTATTTGCTAGTCTTCATAAAACAACAACAATATTAGCAAAGAAACATAATTGCAAAAACTTAAAAGCTTCACTTGCAGCTATCACAATTTCACTTCAATAAGTAACACATAAAAAACTAAAGTTGCTTCTAACGAGTTTCATTCATCTCTTTTTAATTTCCAAACTGATGAGACTATTAGAGATTTTATATGAATACGAGCTTCAGAGTGTTTGTATATTTGATATATGATAATCTTTGGATTGGACTACTTGAGGATATTGATGTTGAAAACAAAGACTTACAAAATTTATTTTCATTCTATTTTTTATTTTAGTTTCCTATTTTTTTAAATTATATATATATATATATACATATATATATATATATATATATATATATATATATATATATATATATATATATATATATATATATATATATATATATATATATATATATATATATACATATTTACTTTTCACAGTGAAATTATTTTTTGAGAACATATTTTTTTAGTTTGAAGAATTATAAAGCCTATCAATATAATTGTATTAATGTTAACTATAATATAAACAATAAAAGTAATAATGGTAGCTTTAAAAGAACAAGTCGATATAACTGACTTATTATAAAGCCTAAATAAATTTAAATAAATAAATAAATTGTATTAATACTAACTATAATAAAAACGATAATTGTACTTTCAAAAAATTAACTAAATAAAACCAAGTTATGAAATCTTATCAATTTGGTTTAAAAAACAGAAAATGCAAAAAAAAACAAAAAAAAAACAAAACAGAAAAAATAGTAAATATAATAGTAACCAGGAATAGTCATCAACTGAAGATTTCCTAACTCTGGCAAATTAGATCTTTCAATTTGATGCGCCAAAATGCCAGTGCCCAAACCAGACCGAGCAAAGTTTGATGCACTGCTAGCTACACTGTCGCTATCGCTACCACTGCTGCTTCCATCCAAGTTAGGCCTTTGGACACTTTCAATGTGTTCTCTGTTATAGATATTGTCTAAAAACAGAAAAAAATCTGTAAAAAAAAAGATTTTTGAATCAAACCTATAGAGAGCAAGGATTAACATTGATTAACAAGGATTAACATTGAGTCAGTGCTGTTAACAAAGTCATAGATGACAAATGAAAAAATAAAATGTGTCAAAAGTGCATATGAAAACTTTTACAACAGGATTATTACACAGGATTAGATCTAAAGATAGAGCATCTAAAGAAAATTCCTACTTAAATCACAACAAATTACCCACATCTATTCAAGCACATTGAAGTTTTAAAAAAATTTAAATTAAAAACAAAACAAAAAGTACTATTTTTATATAAAATAAAATACATTTAAATCTAAAGAATCACGAGTTAAGTGCTCAGTCATTACCATTCATTTTTGTAAAAACTTTGGTTTTTATAAGGCTAGTACAACATGCATCGCTAGTCTTTATGAACCTCTAGCGTTTGCTAATAAGGCTAAAAGCCATACAAAACTAACATCATATATATTGCATTTGAAGCATCCATAACTATTGCATTTGAAGCATCCATATATATATATATATATATATATATATATATATATATATATATATATATATATATATATATATATATATATATATATATATATATATATATATATATATAAGCAATTCATCAAGACCATGTTAATAATAACATAATTTTTTAATCATTATAACTTAAAAGTTGATGTAAAGTAAACCAACAATATTATTCTAATAATTTTTAAAGATTGTGACTTTGCTGATTACCTTGCTGATCTTCTTTGGGGTGGCATCGCAATAAAAATACTCACTCCTGATTAATCTTCTTTGGGGTGGCATCACAATAAAAATATTCACTTCTGATTAATCTTCTTTGGGGTGGCATCACAATAAAAAAACTCACTCCTGATTAATCTTTTTTGGGGTGGCACCATAATAAAAATACTCACTCCTGATTAATCTTCTTTGGGGTGGCATTACAATAAAAAAACTCACTCCTGACCTCCAAAACAAGTTAACAAAAGTTAACTTACAGTTAAGTTAAATAAATGAGATCCGGTTGTAAAAAAATGATACCTCTGTAATCATTATATATTATTGCTGAACTTAATAGCAGTATTAATGCTCATTTGTGAGTGTTTGCACAAAACCCACAGCAGCCATTGAATCCAAGATAATAGTGAGAAAGAGTCTCTCAACACTTTTTTGTAAGATAATTTGAATGAAAAGTCTATGCAAATATTTAACTAATTTAAAAAGGGGGTAAGTAATATGTATATATGTTTAGAATACTATAAAATTAACTATAAAATTCTTTTGTACATCTTAATTCATTACATCTTAATGTAATAAAGTTATACATTTATGGGCTGTTAAAATGTGTTTGATTTTCTAAGTTGTTGTGAAGTTGCAGTTTATATTTTTCTGTCATGGCCGATGACTCGGGTTTTAAAGTAGAGGTGCACAATCGTCAATTTTTAAAAAAAGTCCTCTATATATAGAATAGGCAATAAGATTTCCCCTTAATTTATTTAAGGGATTACCCATACCAAAAGTAAAGTGGGAGAAGTTAGAGTGGGCAGTGGAAAATACTTAACTACATCTACAAATAGAAGAGGTATTTGAATGTTTTTAGTTTAATATGTATATTTTTATTGATCTATTTTTTTAATTTTGTTTTCACGAATAAAAAAAATTCGTGAATACCAATTTTTCTTTCTTTTAATATTAAATATAAATTAATATTTAGTTATTTTTTCTAAAAAATTTTGTTGAAAAGTTATACATTTTGTTTTTACACTAAACACCATCAAAACTTATGTCAGCAGAACATGCAAAATATTAAAATGATTTGAGAACTGCTGTGACAGTGTTTATGATTCTCTGTGTCAAAATAATATTTTATCGTCATTTAAGATTTTGTGAATTCTTTAATTGTCATAATAATCAACAGTTATCACTGAATTAGGTATTCATAGGTATCTAATATAGTACTTACAATATGAAAAAAATTTTCACTGTGTATGTTCTTTATCGATGTTTCCTTATCTGTTCAAGAAAACATTAATTTTTTAATTAAATGGATCATACTTATACAAAAATTAACATTTTGTTTTATTTTTTATTTTATTTTTTGTTTGTTTTTAAAACTTTACCTTTATTATCTCTTGATGGTTGAGTTATTTTTCATGTTTAACTGCAAATATTATGTATTACAAGCATTTGAAATTTAGTTGTTATTCTATTTCGTTAGTTCTACTTACTAACTATCATATGTTTATTTTGTCTACCAACTATCATATGTTTATTTTGTCTACTGTTCAAATATGGTTTTAACTTAGTAAACTACAATTATTTTAATTTTACTTTGTTGAAAAATAGTTTAAAAACAAATTAGTTTGTCCCAATTATGGTAAAAATAATTTTATTTTCTGGTCGAATTACAAAATTTGCTTGCACCAATAGCTTTTATGTTTTAGTTATTTTGTGTAACAGTTACACAAAAACTTATTGTCTTTGCAATAAAAATCTTACAGATTTTGATTTTTTTGATGCTCTAGAAATTATAAATATTTCTTACAACTTGATGCTCTTCACAGAACTTATTTGTTTTGCAGACTAATTGTAAAAACTAAGGTTGGATTAATATCTAACTCTTCGAACAATTAAATTAAAAATTTAAATTAAAATTTTTCTTCTACTAGGTATGTTGTTTTCAACACAGATAAGGGCTTCCTTGTTGCAAAATAAAATATTTAAAACTCAAAAATGTCAAAGTATCTTTACACACACCCGCTTGTCATACATAATTTATCAAAAATTATCTAAATTTCTTCTATAATAAATTAATTTCATAGACTAACCTTATAAATTATGAAAAAAATTAATACTTGAAATTATACCTGAATTTTCTGTTCTTCTAAAAACAACTGCAAGACTTTTCTCAAGCTCCTCAATTTCGGCTCTAAATAAAAAAATTGATAACTTGTGATGCTAAAATTACTTCATTCATAAAACTTGTTAACTCGATTACTAAAATTACTTCAAATAAAAAAGACTTTCATTACCCCTTCCAACACAAGGACCTCTCCTGCTTTGAGCATAGAAAGCTATAAAAATTTGTTACAAGGAACTCTCCTGCTTTGAGCATTGAAAGTTATAAAAATTTGTTACAAAAAACTATCGTGCTTCGAGCATAAATAGTTATAAAAATTTATTAGATAAATTATTCACCGACTATAATCAGAATTTTCATCATTATCTTCCAAATCTTTCAAAGTCATGTTGTCCATAAAAGAACTTTCGTTTACTTCTGCTTTTGACATCTGCAAACGAGCTCGCACCTCTAAAAAAAGTAGAGATTTTCAAACTTTAAAAAACTCCAATAAAATAAATTTTAAACTTTAGCATGCAATACAAAAATACTGAAATTGCAAAATATTATATTGCTAATTTCTGTTTTGTTCATACATACATATACACACATACATACATACATACATACATACATACATACATACATACATACATACATACATACATACATACATACATACATACATACACACACACACATACTAGGGGTGAACAAAACCGGATAACCCATCTGGTTTGCTGAAATTGGATTTGGATTTTAACAAACCGGATCCAATATCCGGTTTTGCTCACCCCTAGTTAAAATTTCCAAGTTGGAAGTTTTAACTAGGGGTGATTTTAATTAGTTTCTTCTGGATATCCAGTTTTGCTCACCTATAGTTGGAAGTTTTAACTGCAGATTTTAACAAACTAGACCAGATATTTGTTAAAATCTGATTTTAAAAACCAGACCAAATATCCGGTTTTGCTCACCCCTAATACATACACTCTGAGCAAGTATATTTGCATTTTGTTTTAATTTAGTTTGCTAGTCAAGAAAACTATTTTCGCCACATATTACCTACACCTGTGAACTTGTTAACCCTGATGCAACCATGAAAAATGAGCACAACATCGCAAAGCATTTTCTGTTATTCAACAATAATTTTAAAGTTAATCATCTAAATTCAACTTTAAACAAAAATCTTGTTTTAATTTTTTTTTACTCAACAAGATAATAAAGAATTAAAATAATTAAAATAGGGGCAATTGCACAATTTTTTCAACCATTGATCCAAATATTGAAATCAAGCCATTGCCAGACATTATATACTTGCATTAGTTTAGTAGTCAAAACAAACTTAAATAACTTGATAGAGTTTTTAAACTAAAATTTTAATTATTTATTTCTACTACCGTTTTTGTTCTTATTATGAAATTAACCCTATAAGATAAATATTTCTGAGCAGGCGAGGCATTTTTTTCTAAAAGATGGAAATCTCTGAAAAACCTCAATTTAGTGTTGTAAGGGTTGAAGGAGTTCGTTAACTTTGGATAGCAATCTTGTAGGTGTTAGTATCATGAAAAAAGAAACCATTGCACCGCTTGTCACAAGAGACTTGCAAGAGACTTGTTAAAAAAATGGCAATAATAAAATTATTGTAAATAATGATTCTTGGTACAAATTCTTCTGAGTTGCAGTGCAAAAGAGTGTCAGCTGTTGTTTTTTTTATACACACCAACTACATACATAATGTAGAGATACGTTGAAACAAAAAAACCATTCAATAGCAAATCCCAATACCATGAGATCGTCATGGTATTGGAATTTGCTATTGAATGGTCACTGCCTAATATAGTTTTTGTATATGCAACTCAAGCAGTTAGGGTAAGAGAGAACTCCTGGTAAGAGAGAAAAAGAAAGAACTCCAGATTGTTCTTTGTTTTAAAAAAACGAGAAAATGAGAGACATTGTATGAAAAAACATGAATGTCCAAGTTGGTGCAGATATAAATGGTTTTAAGAGAGTACATGATAGAGAGTGCATGATAGAGAGTACATGATAGAGAGTAAGGAGAGAAGCCTAAACTTATTGAGGGAGAAAAATGGCTGGAATATTCAAATTAGATTAACAGTCTTTAAACCATGGGTTACTGGGTTACAAAAAAAGATTGCTTGAAGAAAAAGTGGATTAAAGTCTTAATTAAAAAGATAAAAAATGGGTAATATAAGCGTAATATAAGATAAAACTTGTGTTATACAGAACAAACCAGTTATTTATGATATGACATTGCAGAAATTGAAAAATAATAAAGTACATAATTATTTTGAGAAGGGAACTCAAACAAGAACAAAAAGCAAGTCAGTAAGAAATATGGGGAAAAAAGATAGAAATAGAAGTATGAAAACGTGAGAGCGCAGATGACATTAAAAAAAGCTTCTTTTTAGGAAAGAAGATACTTAAGCTTGTGTATATGGAAGAAATGACACCAAAATGACACTGATGAGAAACGCTTAATTTGTGCAAATGTGGAAACAAGGACACTTAAAATGTGTTGGAAAATATTTTTTTTACTACAATAAAAAAGTTACAAAAACCTTTACAAAACATACAAAATACAGAAAAAACTTATTCAAATTGTTGTTTTTATTCCTTAGCACATGTTTGGATGCAACATTTCAAATTCTACATCTATGAAAGTAAATACTTCATGCAAAAAGTTAATACATGGGGGATTATCCATAAGGTCAGGGATTTTAAATCTAAATAATTTCATTTAAATATTTATTTTGTAAAAATGCAGTATACATTATATCACACAAATACATATGGTTGGTTACATATTGTTGGTTACATATCGTTGGTTACATATCATTGGCTACATATTGTTGGTATACAAGGGTATACTGCACTAAATCCATTTTTGGCAGTATGGTGTTATTTGTACCAGTATTTAGTATTTTAAATTCTCTATCATTTGATATACCACACAAATTTAATAAATCAATTATTAATGAGTTATTGAGTTATTAAATATTTATTAATATAATTATCTCAAAATGATGTTTTTAGACTTTAGTGCATTTCCCTTGTATACCGACGATATATAGAGTACAAATATCATTATTTATTATTGATTGATAAATGACAAATCTTCCTAATTATTAATTAAAATAAAAGCTTTTATTTTTCAATGTGTTATTTTAAATTTTATGAGCATTTTATAAGATTTTAGGATGAGAATATTATACCTTTTAGAAAAAGACTATCCATGTCTGTTTGATTTGCTTCAGTTATATCAAAAAGTGAACGATACTAATAAAAGAAGATAATTTTGATTAATAATAACAGTGTATTACAATCTGAAAGAAAACTTAGTTACTAACATAACTAAAAATTTTAATACTTGTTTAAATTTTTATTAATCATAGTATTATTATATTACATATCTTTAATAATCAAAATATAATTCTTTCAATTAATGTTTAAAACTTAATGTAGTTTTGACATATGAGGTTTAGACAAATGTAGTTTTGACAAATCTGTCACAAAAATCTTATAAATCTCAAATTAGCTTTTTTCCATAAAAAAAATTGAGTTGTTTTTTTTTCATAGTATGCAGCAACTGAGTGTGTTTAATTTATTAAAATTCACAAAAGCAGTCTATCTACAACTTTTTACAAGCTGCAAGTAAAATTATTTATTTATTTTTTTTAGTTAATAAAGATCAATTGAATTATTACAGAGCACCATGAATGTTTAAATTTTTTCATATGAGCATTTAATAAGAAAGTCCACACCTCTTTCCTTACCAACATGGGCTAGAGCCAGCATTAATCCTTAAATCTTTTGGTGAGCCAGAACTCTAACCACTGCGCCACAGCTGCTTTTTTTAATTGATATTTTGTTTTTGTCTTTTTTTTTTTTTTCTTGTTAAAAGGTTAAAAAAAAATTGTTAACTTTCCTTACAGCTTTTGTTATTTTATTGAATAATTATTTAAATTTTGTATTCTGCTTTTTTACTGTAAAAATGGTTTCATGAACTGAATACAATAACATGAATACAATAAAATTGTTTCTTTATGTTTTTAATGCAGTTAGTTATGCAGTTTTTAAAATAACTTCTGCAGTTTTTGAGTTGTAAGTTGCATTTTATTTTTAATGTATTGTATAATAATTGCATGTATTATATATGCTTATATATTCTTGCTTTTTTTTGTTTTTTTTTCTGTTTAGTTGACAACAAAGATGATAATATTGATGAAAATTATATTTGATTATATAAAGATTTTATATATTATTTTTCTTTAAAATCTGTTATTAAAATAAGTAATAAGTTTACAAAAACTAATAGTATAATATTTTTATAGGAAATTTTATTGTATTGAGAATGTACAAAGTATTTTCAGGTAACATATTGAGTAGAATTATCATTGGATTAATAAGCATCATTATGTAGGTGGTTATTAAATTTTTGTAGGTACCTGTTTAAATACATTTTCAATTTTACTATTCTAGTGTTGAATATGAAAGTGGAATAGTGAAATATGAGTAATTCACTGCGTCAGAAAATGACTTTCAATTCGAACCTCTTTTCCCAAGAAAAATCTTTAGGAGTATGATAGTACAAGTATGTAGGAGTAGATTAGAGTTGGTTTTGAAATCTTTCATCATTGTCCGTGAAAGAAAAATTGATTTGAATTTTCGATTTTATTGCTCTGAACAAATGAATTACATTTCCTATTGAAAACATTTGAAACTTGCTTTAACATTTATTCTATAAATATGTTAAAAGTGAATTTACAACTTAGAAAAAACAACAAACAAAAAAATTTCTTAAGAAAATTAAAAAAATCAGATTCTAGCTTAACAGATCAAGCAACTAAAAAAAAAACTCTTATTAAATATAGTTCCTAAAAATTAATACTGAAGGGTAAAATATCATATGTCATAATACAGTATTCTCTACAAAGATGTTTAAAGAAATGCTTGCTGTTTTAATCAATCAAACAGTTTATAAGAATCTTTGGGTAGTCCGGATGATTTCTGGGCCTTTTGAACTGTTGCCAGTGATGGTTGAAGTCATGATAGTGATTCTCTTCCTTGCTTTTAATAGATACCTAGTAAGTGGTTGTAACGATCAATAAACTGTGTTACATGAAAAAAGACAGCATATACTTTGGGAGTGGCACTCATGTTTTTAAGCTTGAGGTAGGAATCCTTGAATTCTTCAATAAAGATGCAATGTTTTGAAGAACATTTCTAATGGAGGCATCAAAAACTTTCTGAATGTGTCAATGAATAAAAATGCTAAAAAACAAGCATGCTTTTCTGCAAGTTGTTAAAGCAAGTCAACATTTCTTAAAAGCTTTCTGCACTCTTTGCCTAAAATTATCCTTTGTGAAAAGGTTGTTATTAAAAATTCATCATTTTTGGCCACTCTAGTGTATTTTTCCACTGCAGACATAGACACTTAATGAGATTGTTAACAACACCAAGAAGCGAATGAAATTCCATGGCTGGAATGAAGTCCAACATGATCGTTCCTTCAGGTAACTTAATTCAATAACTGACTTGTGCTGCTTGGAAGCCTGTATAATCAATTTGAATGGAGCAGATTGTTTGGAGCTCACAGCTCTGATGAAGATTCTCTGACTCAACGCCATGCCAGGTACAAGGGTGAACACTTGAGTGAGACTGCAAACCACGAATGTTTGCAATCTTCATACCACATGACAACACAAAAGGCAATCTCTCAAGGCTCAATTTGTCCATGATCTGCTTTACATTGTCATAATTTTCAGAGTAATTTTCTGTGATAGCCACCAGAAGTTGATGCTTCGCAAGAGAGGTTTCTTAGTCAGGGGAGAAGGATTTGGTTCTAGGTCAATAACCCCATAGACATTTTCAGGAACCCCCATCCTCCATCAATTCCCACCTTGATAAGTTTATTTGACTGAAGACATCTGATCTGAACTAAAGTGTTTCCTGGGGCTTCAACATCTTTGCAGTACACTAATAGACATTTAGATTATTTTCCAATAGATGATTGGATGTGTCTGAAATTTCTGAGGTGATAAACAAGTTAGAAAGATGCTTTCCAAGAGACTCAAATTGTTCCCTGAAGTTTTGTTCAACTACTCCCTGGGTAGCAACTTTGTTAAGAGTTTGAAAACCCAGTCTCGTTTTGAACTTGTAGAAGTTGTTGAGCAGTCAAGGTGAATGTAGCTGCTGGAAAAAGTTAATTGTCTTGATGGCCCTGGAAAAAAAGTTTGCATCAACATAACACAGTTTCTCATAATTTAAGGTTTCTTACTTTTTGTAATAAAAGAGTCAAAGCAAAAGTATATTCACTGCTTTCCTATTCTTTGACTAAGATGCACAGTGTCATGGGGTGAAAAAACTTTGTTAGCTATTTAAGAAGCAGCTACTCTTTCTGCTGCTTTTATTTTTTTGCTGCAACTTCTGGTGAAGCATTCCATTTGTACAATTATGAGGAATCACTCTTCCAATCAGTGAAAAGTATGCTGGCTGTTCTTTCGGCTGACTGGTTGAGTTTGCTGTTCCATCGGCTGATGGTTTTCAAACTTGGCTTTTCCCACATAATAAAAAGTACAATCACATTGTTTTGATTGTTTTGAGAGTCCCAAAAAAGACTCCGGATTTGAAAGTCACAAAAAGATTACTTCTTTTTAGTTTTTGGTATCCAGGAATTTTCAAAATATAAAAAAGTTTATGGGCTGCTAATGGGGAATAAATCAAGATTTATAGGTCAGAAGAACAATTTATTTTTGAACTCGTAGTCCTTAGGTATAATGGCGCTAAAGACTCCGTGACTCCAGGATTCTGGCTTAAAAACAATAAGTTCCAAGTCATTGATTATCATAAATTTTTTTCTTATACCAGATCATTTATCAACCAACATGTTTGGAGCTTCTGGACACCAAAGACCATGAAAAAATAAAGTTATAAAGTTGGAGTCCTTTTGAAACTCTGCATCCCTGGTTGTTAGACAGTGAGGGAAGTTGAACATCTTCACTGATGTTTCTTTTTCTAAGGCCTACTCAACAGTTTTCCCAGATACTAATTGGGACTCTTTGATCTTTAAAGTTGATAGCTTGAACAAAAACTTCTTGACAGCATTTAATCATAAAATCAGTCTGTTAGCTTTTTTAAAACAGAGAAAACAGAGAAAACAGACAGTTTTTCTGTGATCATCATGAGTTTTTTGCTTGATTTGGCATTTTAAATAGCTTTGCACTTGTATTTTGCTCAAAAGGCACATTGAAACTGTTTGCAGGCCTTTCTTGGATCTTTAAAATCAATAAAGGGCCTTGGAACTCTTACTTAAACAAGTTGCTTATCTTTGTTAGTAACTTATGTAACAAAATATTTACGTAAAAAAAGTTTTATTTCATTTGATTGATTTTCAATAGGCCAAAAAATCAAAATTTTTAAATCAATTTTTTTTTCATGGATGGTGATGAAAGGTTTCAAAACCAACTCTAATGTACTCCTACATACTTTTACTATTATAACCTCGAAAGTTTTTCTTGGGAAAAGATGTTAGAATTAATAGTCATTTTGGGGTATAGTGAATTGTTCTAGTATAGACTAAGTGTGATTGGATAGTTCGGAATGCTTTGTTTAAATGTACTGCATAAGAGCATTAAGATGTACCTTAATTGGAAGGATACCATAATTAGCTCCATCATAATAGATGAGGATCAATATCAGCTGCTTTAAGGAGAAAGTTTTGAAAGACCTGCATATTAGTTTTTTTAGTTGTAGAGGTGAAGACTACTGCATAAAAAGAGAACCAAGAACATTTCCTTGTATCACTCCAGATAATGGGTGATGCGTAAGTTATCGGGCAAAACAAAAACGTCAATAACTTATTTATAAATAAAAAAAAATATTATTTTTTTTTTTTACCTAAAGTATTTATCTTTTAATAAAATAAGTTATTTTTTAAATGAAAAAACACCACCATCTGCAATTGATCTCAATTTTGCTCAGACGCCTTTCATAAGCGACTGTAAAAAATTTAAATCAATTTCTTGTAGTTTTAATTTAATTCGATCAATCAAAACTTACTCTGTTAAAGCTTGCAAATCTCCCTCATAAATCTTCGGTGCCAAATGACCCTAAAAGTTTTCAACTGGTTGTACTTGAGGCACATTTGGGGGATTGGATTCTTTATCAACATAATAGACATATTGGTCCATAAAATTTAAAGAATCTTTAGAATAATGAGAACTTGCTAAATCTGGCCAAATTAAATGTTAAAGTCTCCATGATACTTGTGAATGAATGGAAGAAGTCGTTTTTCTAAGCATTCATCAATACAGATTGATGAATTAATTGCTACAGCCTTGGAAGTGCAAAACAATGGCTCGGACATACCACGGTCAGATATGGCTATCCACATAAACAATTTTTTTAGAAATTCCTCTTTTCCTATAAAACGAACACTTTCTGGGTGTTTGAGTAGTATCCAGAATTTATAAGCATGTTATCCCCTGCAAAACAAAAGTATTTTTTTGTCATTGATGACCAGAAGCGATTTTGTGTTATAGAGTTGGTTAACTAGTTTCCTGCTTCTTTTCTTTGTTTTTAATTGTTGTTTTATAGTGTATTTTGGAGTCTTTTCGCGTTTTCTATATTTAATATTCATTTTTTTAAACTGATGATCAATTGATTTACACCAAATTTAAAAACTATTTTTCTCTGACTGACCCTTTTTTAATTGTTGACATGTCTTGTTATTTTGGCTTTCTTTTTTCTAGTCCAGGATGTTGGACAACCAAAGTGCTTTTTATCAGAAAAGGATTGAACAGTTTCAAGTCTTTTTAGGTTATCATATATTGTACTTCAAGCAAACCCTTCCATTTCAAAATGATTTATGATTTCTTTTTTTATATATTAGGCTTATTTACAAAAAATATTTTGAGTTGCTTTCAAAAAGATTTTTGTTCAGCTGAATTTAACCTCATTTTAAATAATTGTGTTTCAAATAATAAAGTTTATATTTTATAGAACGTTTATGCCTACACATAAAACCACAAAAACCATTATGCTCAAATAATTAAATTTGGACTTGTCCAATAATTTCTGCATCATCCATTAGTACATCATTCCATTCAGTAGACTTGTTGTTAAATATAACTTGTTGTTTATGATTAGAAAGTCATTTTGCAATCCAGAGTGATAACAGGCGGTAGGTTAATCTAAAGTTTGTGCATGAGAATAATGTGATCAACTAGGTCAAAAGCTTTTGTAAAATCAAAGAAAATAGCTGCTAGTGAGATATTGTGGTTAATAGCATACCCCCAGTCATACCCCAGTCAGTCATTACTTGTATGATGGCATCAATTGTAGAATACATTAAGTAATACAATGATTAAAAACAAAAAACAAAAATTCATTGCATGCAACATAAAGTAATTTGTCATCACAGTTAGTTAGTGTCAATTAGGTGCGTTTAATTTGTTCACTGACATTAAAAAAGTTAAGGATGGGCAATTCTGAGAACTGCATATTTAGTTTTGTACAAAATTTAGTATCTGTGGGTAAGCTGAAAGTTGAGGTTGATAGTCGATATGCATCTGACCACATACTTGATCATGTGACCACATACTTGATCATGTGACCATATACTTGATAATTCTTGATCACTGCAGCTTTATATGCAGCTGATAGTGCGCAGAGGTTGATGTTTATTTTGTGCATAAATTATAGCATTACGGAAAGCTGAAAATGACCCAAGTGGGTCAGAGTTAAAATTTGCAAAAATACTGCATGTAAAGACATACATCACATGTAAAGTAGTTGTATGGCAGCAACTATATTTCTAATCTGTAATATATTTGGATTAAGGTTTAGGTAGTGTGTTTTTATACAATTCAAAAGTGTTGAAGGAAATAAGCAATGGCAATGTTGTGATTGCTGGCATTTCTAGTTATTAGCATTTGGATTTTGATCAATTAGAGATGAGAATCTTAAGTAGTTTTTTAATGAATAAGACGATGGATATACTTTATGGGGAAAAATCGGACTAATATTTATCATATTAATAAATTCTTTTATGATTTATTTTTTACAAAATATATTAGCGTTGTTGGTATTAAGTCTTTTAGGTAGAGATAGTGAATTTCTGAACTTTCAAAAAGCCTCCTTGACTGTTGCAGCCAGATGGAAGCAGACTGTTGAAGAAGATGAATAGAGTAAAAAAAAACAACGTTAACAATTTTTTTTATTTCTAAGCAAAAAAAAACAATGTTATTTTATGGCAAAAATAATATAAATAAAACTGAATTTTAATTTAAGATTAACATTTTAGTAATTCAAAAAAAAAAAAAAAACATTTTTAGCCCCAGTTGGATCTTTAATTTTCATTATTATATTTTTTTGTCAACAAATACTTTTAAATAATTTTTTTTTAAATATTTGTTGACAATATATTATTGACAAATATTTTTAAAGTTTTTCTATCTTTTAACTGCTTTGTTTTTGGTTGATTAAAAATGACTTTACATGAGAACTGTGTAGAGAGTGCTTTGGAACTTGGTTAAAACCTTATCTAACTTGCTTTTGGTTTATTAAAAATGACTTAATATGAAAAAGAAATTAAAAAAAAAAATTTAGTAACCTTCTCAACTATAGTGGCATCCACTGTAGTCTTGGAGAGTTGAATTAAATTGAAAAAAAAAAAAAAACTGCAAAGTAAATTTGGTGGACTGATCATTGTTTCATTGTTTTTTCAAAAGTATGTTTGGATTTAGCAAAAAACCTTAAAAAATCCTTAAACTCTTTCATCAAATAGAATATTATAATATGAAATTACTTTATATTTCAAATTCAATTTTTAGGCTCATATGATTATGTTATTAATATATGAAAATATATATTCATGTTATGAATGTATGTTAGTATATGATTTGTGAGGACTAATATATTGATTGCATTATTCAGAAAGTAATTTATAATTTTTTGAAAAATAAATTTAAACTTCTTGACTTATTACATAATATAAATTTATTAATATAAACAAAATTATTTTGTAATAGAACAGTAATACATTGTAATTATAATAGAATAATAATAAAAAATTGTGCATAAATAATTACTTGTTTTTCAATAACATTTGAGGATTTTTCAATAGCTTCACTTAATGAAACCTTATCATTTTCTTTTCTGTCAGATGTGAATCTGGCTTCATCCAAAAACTCTTGTAGTTTTTTCCCTTTATCTTCTGATTGAGAGCTCAGAAAACTATCTTGTATACCTGCTAAAAAAAATCATAAATTCTTTAAGCTGTAATATTAAATATAACTATTTTTAAAGTGTAATATGTTAAAATGTATTTCAAAATATTACATATTGAAGATGCCTTATGATATATTTTATTTAAAATTACTAACCTTGCATAGCTTCTAGTTTACTCATTGAAGATTCATTAAGTGTATTAAACTGTGATGCTGAGAGTGATTCTAAAAAAAACTCAATATTATTATAATGTATATATGTGTATACATCAGCTCTCAGAATTAAGAAAAATGAAGAGCTTAAACTATTTGAGGTCGGCATCAGGTCGGCAAAAAATATTTGACACAAAGGAGTTACTATAAAACATAGAAACGAGATCAGCGATTTTTTTGCCAACCTCATTTTTACTAAATTTTCTTTTCTTTTCTGTATTTCTTCAGCAAGAGTGCTCAATGAATCTAATATATATTTACCCAGTCACTGATTCCCTGATAGTGTAATGCTGATGTAACACTTACGTATTAATCATGCGGAAGTTATTTTATTTTAAAGCACATTTATTACTTTTAAAATATCATCCGTCAAAACAAATTTGTTTTATTTAAACTTTAATAACTTATTGAGTTACAATATTGTGAGGTGCAGTGGTTAATCAAATCCTTTAGACACTTTTTTTGTTTGTTTTTTTTAAATATTTTTTATAAAATAACTAATTGTTGCTAATATATTAATAATAATAGTAAAAATAATATAATAAAAGACCATGTCTTTTATTATATTAATATTTGTTAAAAAATACTTATTAATGTAAATATTAAATAAAAGTAATTCAGTTAATAAATAACTTAAATGCGAGTAATACAAGTTTTTCTTGCTTTTAAAGAAAGGCGTTATCATTATGCTTCTAATTAGGGCTGTACCGGATTTCGGCTCCGGCTCCTGCTCTGGCCGAAATCCGGCCATTTTTACAAATCCGGCCCAAATCCGGCTCCGGCAAAAATTTAGCAAATCCGGCATAATTTTAGCCGGAGTTTTGAACTTTGTCAAATATTTATTACATTTTTTTTACCCGTGTTTACATGTATACCTAATATTTTATTTATAAAAATCAATTATTTTTGTAATTCTATATTTTATGAACCTCATACTTGTTTTGGTATTTGTATTTATATTTCTTTATAATTTAATAAGCTAAGCCTAATTTAAAACAACAACGCAACAAAAAATTCTGAAGGGAAGACACACGATATTCTAGAATGATGCAGGTATAAAGACTATGATGTCAACCCTATTCGAGTGATTGGATGAGCGTTTTAAAAGCATTGAAAAGAGAAACCTCATTATATACTGACGAGGCTGGTTGACTCACAATTTAAAACTAAATTCTTCTCATTACAGGCAACACTGACAGCTGAAAAAACAAGATTGAAGTCAATCTAAGCATGCTGAACAGAAGATTGACAAAACTGAAGAAAATCCACCAAAATAAGCCGGGCTTAATAATTTTTTTACATCATCATCATCATTACTCTGGCAATTTATTGATAAAATTATTCAGTCTACGTCCGCTGGTGGCAGGGCACATAAACAACAATTACTAAAAGGCATTGAAACTCAGCTAAGGAAATATCCGAAAGAACCAGAAATAAATAGACACAATGATCCACTACAGTGGCGGAGTAACAAAATCCCGGAAAAAAAGTTCAATAGAATTACTATAAACTTTTAAAACATATGGGCTATAGAATTTCTTTAGAATTTCTATTAATTTATATATAGAAATTGCTATAAAACTTTTTAAATAACAACAATGAAGTTTAACAGAAAACAGCAGTCACTTGGTATTCTGAATAGTCCACATTGTTGACCATGCTCAACACCAATTAGGGATGTACAGGATTTTGGCTCCTGTAGTTTTGTTTTGAAATCCGGCTCCGGCTCCGATTCCGGCCGGATCTGTCAGTAGAAATCCGGCAAATCCGGCTCCGGCCGGATTTGAAAAAATTAAATCCGGTACAGCCCTACTTCTAATATAGTTTATAAAGAAATTCTTTAACAAAATTTTTCAACATGTTTTAACTTGTTGAATGTTTTATTTTTAACATTTGTTTTCAGTCATTTCAATTTTTAATTTTAATTCTGTTTCACTTATAACCACTCATTAGGTATGCATAATATATATAAAATTTATTTGCCTTCACCAGCTTCACTTCAGGGCTTCTCAAAATAAATATCATTTACAAGTAAAAAAGGTTAGCAACCTTTTCTTTGACAAGATAAAGTAAAAAATAACTAAAAAATCAAAAAATTAAAGCAAACTTGTGAACAACAACAGATTTTTTTTTTTTTTGCACATTAGTTTTTTTTTGTTGAAAATATTGATTCAAATATGTTTAACAAAAAAAAATCATAATCAGGCTCGAACAGGAATGGCATGCAATCAAACACCATTGCTGACAATGATTTTTTTTATTGACGACTTGACTACGAGTGTTTAGATGTTTTGATGATTTAATCATTCCAGAAATGCGCTGAAAAAGGAAATGCTAAGTTATACTTACTAGGAAAACTAAATAGGAAAAAATATTTAACACATTACAGGAAAAAAAAAAAAATTTCTTACAAATAAGAAAAAATATGAGCTTTAAAATAAAAATCAAAAAACTCAAAGCGAAAATTACTTTTTGTTACGCTTTTAATTGCGGTTGAAATAAATTACTTAAAAACTTATCTTTTGAAACGTGTTATTAAAGTTACGCAAAATGCACAAATTACTTCTAATGATTGTTTAATAAATGAACAAATTTTATTAAATTATTGAAAAGTGAAATTAAATTATTAAAAAAAAAAAAAAAAAAAAATTTTTAAATTATATAAACATTTTTTTTTTTTTTGCACAAAAAACATTTATTTTTTTTGCACAAAAAAATTATTTTCTAAGTAATAACATTTTTAATCATTTTATCAGTAAGTCAAGAAAAAAAAAACTTTTAAACAATTATTTGCAAAAATAGAAAGAAAAAAAAAAAAAAGTTAAATCGTTGCATTGCAACTGAAAAATTCTAATTTAATTCATGACATTAAGTAACTTAAAAATAATCTTTTAAATGATTTTTAGAAAGACCTTGAAAAATAATTTCAAATGTTTAAATTTATTGTCAAAATACATACCTATAAAAAAAAATTAAATACAACATTTAATTTAAACAAAATGCGTTTATTTTAAACGATCATTATAATTAGTTTTTAACTTATTTAAAACCTTCATTTAAAATAAAAACTTTAGAAAAGATCAATGATTAAAAGTTATTCACAGACATAACGAGTTTTTTTATTACATTTAAATTGTTAAAACATTAAAACAGCTGTGGTCAAATTGTAAAGAAAAAAATTATGAGCGTGGTCGGTTGCATCGTGCATGCCATTCCTGTCCAAGCCGGCATATAGTATTTTAATCTGATGAAACTTTTAACAGTAAACATTTATTTTTTACTTTATCTTGTCAAACAAATCATCAGGCTTATCTAAGTTAAATTTTTGCTAGAAAAAATAACATTTTCCCATTCTCCGTCTCATTTCATGAGGTTCTTGGCAAACCTAAATACCACACTTTTATGTTTTTTTGTCAATGGTGGTTTTGTGATCATTTTTTTCCACTGGAATCGTCCTGATTTTGACAAAATTTGTCAGACACATCTTGTGGTTACAGGTTACCAGTTCAGTCCTTATTTGTCTTGCTGTTCGTACTCCGGGTGATGCCAATGCAAAGTGAAAGATTGTTGCTTTCTGGTTATTTCCGCCTTTTAAGCAACTTTTCTTGTAATTTTGTAAGTTTATAAAATTATTCAATGCATGATGAGACCTTTTAATTTTTTTTGCAATTTGCTAATTGGACAAACCCATATCATTGTAAGCAACAATTTTTGCTTTTTCTTGCTTATTTAACACCCTTCCATTTGGCATTGTAATAATCAAATAACAAATGTTAATTAAAAATACACAAAACTTCCATATAGAACAAACAAATCAAAATCTTACTTCAACAATCAACTCTTATTAAGTATTAATAAACAAACTGATGGAACTGTGGAAATTTTGTGTGTATATATACCAAAATTTAAAAACATTCTATGAAATTTAGTTTCAATTGTTTCAGAACACTTAAAATTTGTTTATATAAATCTGCAATAACCACACTATAATAAAATCTCCAATGACCACACTATAGAAATTTTGCAATAACTACACTATAGAAATTTCGCAATGACCACACTATAGAAATTTTGCAATAACCACACTATAGAAATTTCGCAATGACCACACTATAGAAATTTTGCAATGACCACACTATAGAAATTTTGCAATGACCACACTATAGAAATTTTGCAATGACCACACTATAGAAATTTCGCTGAGTGTATATAAAATGTGCTTTTTAAAAATAGTTATATTAAAACTTAATATTTTTATAGAGGAACCAAAAAAACTTTTTTTTTTAGATAGAAAAATCTATTCCTCTTTATTTTCTTTATTCCTCTTTATTTTCTCTATTTTTTTTTTTTTGCATATTCGAAAAATCTTTTTGTACAAGATCTTTCTAGAAGAAAAATCTTTTTGTACAAGAACAATCAACAAGTTTTTTTAGTTTCACCGAGGGCATGAAAAGTTTAGCAAAACTAAAAACTAAGGGTATGAAAAAAAACGAGTATTTAGTTTTGTCAAGTACATGAAAAGTTTTCTATAAAATAAGCACACATTGTGTTGTTGCTCTAATGTCTTGTTAAAACTTGTAAAAATTTTGATAATAAACTATGTATGTATATATAAACTATGATATGGTAAAATTTTATATAAAAGCTTAAATAATATTACTGATGATGACCATTTTGGCCACATTCAAAGATTTTGAAAATTAATATGATTTGAAAATTAATATATACAGAAAAATGGATAAAAAAACCAATAAGGAAATTAACAAAATGTATAACAAAATAAAATAATTGCAAATGACATACATATATTAATGATGGTTCCAGTGATAGAGAAATTAGCAAAAGTGTTCAAAAATTTAGAGAATTTTATCAGTAAAAATATTTAAAAGCAAAGTTGTCATCCAATAACATCCATGATCTAAAACATTAGAAAAAACTGAAATCTCCTCATATATTTTATCAAGTGCTAATTAAAGGTTATGTTTCTGTGAACATGCCAATACCTTCAATAAAAACTGTAAAAAAAGTTTTAAATTGTAAAATACTTGAAATACATTGGTATTTCAATTTTCAATTTTCAATTTTCAGAGATTATGTCACAAACTTAACAAACTGTGGGGTTTTTTGAAAAGTAGAAGCAAGTAAAGTTTAGTATAAAAAGAGAAAAACCTTTTAAACCGAAAGAAAAAAAAAATTAACTCACAGTTGTAAAAATTACAAAAAAAATCTTCAGGCTGACTTGGGAAAACTTCTTAATGGGAATGAAAGAAAAATATTTCAAGAATTAAAACAAGGTTAACAATACTTTTAAATACTTTTGACATTTTTTAGTAATATTTTTATCTTTTCAAAAAAATTAAATCCTAATTTTTTAAAAATAAAGATAAAAAGTAAATACTTTTATTTTTATAAAAAAAATATTTTTATTTTTAAATAATTAAAAATAAAAATATTTGTTTTTATTATAGTTTTACAAACATACATACATAGTCTACAAAAATTTGATCTGGAAAAAAATGAGCTGGGCCTGATTTCAAAAAACAAAACCATTGCATAAATGTTGATAAAATCTGTTTGGGTTGTTTTTTTTAATTTAAATTGAAATTTTTTTTTTGTGTGCATATTAGGGTGATCCAGCCATCCTTATGTGTTCTGATTAAGCCTGATTTTTTTTGGGGGATGAGGTTTTTAACAAATAGTAGGAAACTGAAATTTTAAGAAAACTGGATAATGTTGGGTGGTAGCAGATTTCAATTGATTTTTCAAAATTAGTCTATAATCAAACTTGTAAAACTTGTAATTATGAGTAAACTAAAAAAGAGGCTGCAAAAGAAATACTTAAATCAACAATGGCATTGTAATATAATTGACATATAATTGATCATACCAATAAAACACTGAAAAGAATACCCAAAAAATTATTGAGTTTAAAGACAAGTAAAAACAATAAGGTTCTGGCCTCAAGATGTGCTAGATAATTTGGATGATGCAGAGGACAAACAGTTTCTGATCAGCATGATGACTGATAAGAATGTACCCATAGGCTAATTTGATTATAAATGTTACCTTGCGGAAAAAAAGTGCGGAACAACACTCACATAATATTCTGAATTCATCCAAAGTTATTGAAATGTTTTGATATTAAACTATCCTTTAACTGGGAAGTAAAGAACTAAGATGTGTTTAACTATAATTTAAATTAAAAAGTTTTAAAAAAACACTATAGAAATTTCGCTGTGTGTATATAAAATGTGCTTTTAAAAATAGTTATATTAAAACTTAATATTTTTATAGAGGAACCAAAAAAACTTTTTTTTTTAGATAACAGAAAATTCTATTCCTCTTTATTTTCTTATAATAATGATTGTATTGTTTAAAAAATAAAATTTATAAAATAATGATTGTATTGTTTGGTTTTTAGATTTAAGAAAAACTTCAAGTATCTAATTTGCCAAACTATTGAAGACCTTGACATTCTTCAAACATACAAATTTTGATAAAAAAAAATCTCATTACCAACCTTTGCCAAAATTTCAGCAAAGATGATTTTTTTTCTTTTAAATTTCAATTAACCTCCCTAAGGTCATGAAAGGAGGTCAAGGAGGCTACTTTAGTTGTGTTTTCAACCCTGTCTCAACTCTATAACTCTGAAACACAAACCTTGAGTCACTTTTTAATAACAACTTAGAGGAAAAAAAGAGGGAAAACGTTACAAATAAAATACTATTGCTAAAAAATTATGTGACAATAAATAAAATAACTTCAAAAAGAAAAAGGTTGGGGTTTGGTAAACCTATATTTCCAATGCTTCCTAAAATGACTGTAAATTAGTTGACCAACATTATTGGTAAAGACTCCTTTTTCACCATATTAAATACAAAAGTTGGCTGAGCAAATTCAATTGCCAACTTTTGCAAATCAAACTTTATAATAAAAATAATTTTAACATTTAAAAAAGAATTTTAGATTTATTAAATTAAAGTTTTAAAATATTTGAATTTAAATTTCTTTAGTATTTTTATCTAAGTTTATATTCATCAACGAATTTCAAATTTTATGCAATAACCTCTTAGTTTTAAGTTTTTATGGCACAGGACAACTCGCTTTCTCCAAGGGCAACTGAAACTTTTTAAAAAATGTCTGGCAGGATGACTAGACAGTTTGTTATTAAAAGTTTGTTAATAAAAGTTTCTTACAAAAGTGTGTTTATTAATAAAACCATACTTTGATCTATGAAAATTTTATTTATTGTGATTATCTAAAAGTAAACTTTAAAAAGCATTTAAAATAGTATACACTTTGTTTAGCATACACTTTGACAGGGCTTGAAATAAGCACCAGACATTGATCATTGTCTGGCACATACACAGCCTGTCAACACCATGTTCATGAAGTGATTTTATACCATATTTACAAAACTTGCTTTGAGCACCTTCTGGTCCAGAGGTCAAGTTGTTTCTACGATTTTGTGATCAGTGGAGTAAGTTTACAAAAATCCAATTCTGAATCTTGGCTCTTAACTGATGCAGATCTCAAAGTGTATGGTTTGCTTGTACCATTAGCAATAGAATTTGCAGCTAGAAACAAAACAACCTCATGATTACAAAGAATTTTTGCAACAGTCGATAATTTTTTTAGGAAAAACTCCTCCAGGTCAAGGCAGAATAATCTTTTGTACTCCTGGTGCCATACACCAAGCACGATGGATGGTAAAAGCTTTCTACTCTATTAAAATATACTTGTTTCAACATCAATTTCATTTAATAAAGAATGAAAAGAAGAATCTTCTATGATTTTCAATTTTTGAAAATTGTGAATGACACAATTGTGAATGGGTGAAACTTATTTCAGATTACATAAAAATCTTTACAAAAGATGATACTTAATTGCAATATGTTTTAAATTTCAGATATGTGAAAGTCCACAATAGTGAAGACATTAATAAAAACAAGTGAACAACCAACAAGTAAAAACAAGTGAACAACTTGTATCAAAAAAAGATTAAAAAAAAAATCCAATAGTTATTTAGCATATATTGTTATATTTACAACACATACTATTGGTGTATATATTGACTTAGGGGGAGGGCATGCTCACCAAAAACTGTACTTTGAAGGCATAAAAGCAAAGTAATATTATTGAATTGTTTACATGTACTGCAGTGGCGGTCAAAAAGAAATATTCATGATTTTTATGCCCTGCTGTGCAGTTCACTTGGACTTTAAGGGTTAATATTGGAAAAACAAAATAGTCTCTTCTTTATCCAAACTATATAAAGTACCGAGTGAACTGCCTATTCTTTTTATAGATAACATGCAAATTAAATAAGTAACAGTTATAAAAATTATTTAGTTGTTTTTTTTTTATTAAAATCTTACATGAAAAAGGCACATTAAAAACTTATCCTAAAAAGTTTTCAAAAGTATAGAAATGCTATTTAAAGAAAGAAGCATACTAAATATTTCTATTCAGATTAATCATGTATTACTCCAGATAATAGTATCAGAATGAAAGTACTATAATCTGATATGTAGGTTACAAAACTAGAAACAAAACTGGAATTTTTTTCTGGCATCAGGTTGCAAAAAATTGCTTTACCCTCTATAATGTCTATCAATAAAGTCACATTTAAATTAAAAATGACACTACGAAAACTCTTCCTAATCATACAAGTATAGAGCCATGGCCATTAAATCATTTTAAAAAATAATAAAAATTTACTTGGAGGAGTAGAAACTTTTAAAAATGCGCTTAAAGAACTGTGAGTGGCTTCATTCTGTAATGCTGATTTTCTATAAGAAAAAAAAAAGTACTTTAAAATACTAATAATAAATTAACACATATTTTGCATTATATATATATATATATATATATATATATATATATATATATATATATATATATATATATATATATATATATATATATATATATATAATATTAATAATGTACCGATTAATCGGCATTGGCTTAATATATATATATATATATATATATATATATATATATATATATATATATATATATATATATATATATATATATATATATATATATATATATATATACATATATATATATATATATATATATATATATATATACATATATATATTTATATATATATATATATATATATATATATATATATATATATATATATATATATATATATATATATTTTATATATATATATATATATATATATATATATATATATATATATATATATATATATATATATATATATATATATATAGGAGGGTATACTTGAAGCCATGAAGGCCACTCCAGTCGAGGAGGCTACTTTAGTTATAGTTATAACCCTCTCTCAACTTTAAAACTTGAAAACACAAACCTTGAGGAACAAGGCCGCTACGCTGAGAAACAAGTTGAAGGCCACTACCAGAGATGTGGATCAAACATCATAAAATAAAATTATTTTAAAACAAATTAATTATCTAAAAATAATTTAGATATCTAAACCACATATGACTGTTGTTTAGATATCTAAGTAAATTATTTAATCAAATTTATTCTTGTCTTGATAAGAAGCCAACACTCTCTGATTGCTTGGAGGGGGCATTTGAGATTGAAAAGGATCTCACTTTTGCTACAGCATAGGGCTCAGAGTGGCTGGTGAACTTTAATCCAGATAAAACTAATTTTTTTTCAGCCAATCATTATCACAATAATTTAGATCTTCTAATCCTAGAAGACAAAGGGGAGATCTGTGATCTCCCCTTTGTCTTCTAGGATTAACTCTTACTTCAGATCCTTCTTGGAAACCATATATCAAATCCATTGCAAAATTACCACCTGCTAAGGTTGCTTCTCTTCATGCCAGACACTTTCTTACTCCAGATTCTATTCTTTATTTCTATAAATCTTAAATCCGTCCTTGTATGGAACACTGTTGCCAGATCTGGAGCAGATCTTCCAATGATGTCCTTTTTCTTATAGACAAGGTGTAAAAACACATTGTAAACATATTTGGACTTGTAAACATAGTTTATAATTGTAAGCATTGCAAACATAGACTTGTAAACATAGTTGGACATTGTAAACGTAGTTGGACCTGCTCTTGCAGCCAACTTCTAACTATTATCACATTGTCATAATGTTGCTTCTCTTTCTCTTTCTTAAAAATATTATAATGGGCACTGCTCTAAATAGCTAGTGTCTCTTGAGCTATCTACTAATTATTAACTAAATAATTGTTATTTGTCATTGCATTATGAAGGCAGGTAATTTTTTCCTAGGCTGGTATGACTGTCTATAACAATTACCAACCGTCTTATATGCTTACCGTATTATAACCATCTTCTAACCTTAGACTAAGGATAAATATTAAAAAAGTTTACTAGCATCTTAAAATGGTTAAATTTTAGACTTTTTAGGTGAATGGACTATATCTGATCTGCATGGCATTAACAGTATAAGTCAAAACAAAAATTATTTTTCGATGCTATTTTGTATATACAGTAACAAAACACTGCAAACTTTACTTCATTATTTGACTTCAGAAGCTCATTTGAATAACTTTGGAATGCTCTCCTGTAAAATGTTCAAACTTGACATATATTGTTATTGCTAACAGATATATTTATAAATATATTTGAGAACTAAACTAAAACAAGCTGCTTATACTTTACCCATTTATTTCAGACAAATTAATCAGAAAAATGCTTATAAAGTCTTGTTGATGAAAAATACAACAGTTAACTTTATTTTGGCATTTTTTATTGGTATTCAGAACTTTTCCAAAAATGAGAAGGTTATAATTTTTTTCTATTATGATAAAAGTTAAAAAAAACCACTACTTTATAAACTTTCCAGAAAACAATTTAAGAAAAAACCCTTGTTGAAAACAAGAAAAAAGTTATAAGGCTTTTAAGTTGTTCATATTTACAATATCTAAATGGCCACTGTGTCATACTTATAAAGCTATAATTATTAAAATGATGCACTTAGAAAACTGAAGTTTCAAATTTAACCTATCTATATAAATCTATTAATTTACTTTCATTTATTGAAAGTAAACTAGGTTATGTCCAAAAAATTAAACACACAAATAAAAAAACACTCTCTATACTTATTTAAAAAATTTAGAATAAGTTGTTTTTCTATGTAAACATGCAATATAAAAGTTTTTTATATGATTTAATGAAATTTTTAAAATTTAAAAATTTCTTGTAAGTCATACTTATCATAATTCAATCTAAGTAAACAATTCTAATAAATAAATAATAAAAATTAGAAAACAAAACTAATTTACTAATTTTTACCGTTTATCAAATTTGGATTTGCTAATAGTTTTTTCCCTTGTATCTAAAGTTTCATTATCTGTATCTTCTTCTCCTTTTGAAACTTCTCCAAAATTAAATGATTCAAATCCACTTACATGAGAAGGGAATGAAATATCACTTAATTGTGAGTCAGGAGAGTCTGGTATAAAGTCTTGATTCATAATGATAACTAAAAAATAACAACTTAATCATCATCAAATATATATATATATATATATATATATATATATATATATATATATATATATATATATATATATATATATATATATATATATATATATATATATATAAAATTTGTTTTTAATACTTTTTGAAAAAATAATGATTAAAAAATTTTTGTTTGTTAATAAAAAAAAAATTTAAATGTTACGCTATATTTTTCATTTTATTGAAAAGTTTATCAATAATTATTTGTGTTAGTTTTGTAGGTTCAAATTATTTTATACCAAATCATACAATGCTGATTAATTGATCAACATTTAATTAATTCATATTATAAGAGATTGATTTTTTAAGTTTAATTTTTTAGGCTTAATTTAGGTTTAAAAAGCGTTAAATTTTCAAAAAAAAATTGAATAAACAGATATATGTAAATATATACATATATGCGTAAGTAGTATTACTATATATAAATATATAGATAATTTAACAAAAACATTTAACATTTATTGTATTGTATTGTATTGGATCAACATTTAATTCAATTTGAAAAACTTGTGATAAAATTATTGAAATTGATTTTTTAACTTAACACTTTTTAACACGTTTTAAGTTTGAAAATTTTTAAAAATAGAATAAACTGATATTTGTAAATATATGCATATATGTGTATGTAATGTAATAATATATAAAGATATCTTTATAACGAAATTGAACAAAATTACTTTTTGTATTTATTATTCAATTGTTTTGAAAATAATTAGAACTCGCGCTTTAATTTTTTATTTTCAGACGTCGGTTATTGCGGTAATTGCCAATTACGTCAATTTTTATAACTGTTTAAAGCTCGAGAAAGATTCTTTTTGAATATTAATAATAATCTAGAAAAATTATTCCGATGTTTACCTAATGAAAAAAAATGATAAAATAATTTTATCAAAAATTATAAAATTAAATTCGGGGTTTATCGTTAAATTTGTCGCTTTTAATTCGAAATCAGTTACGCGCCTAATAAGGTTAACAGGTTATCTCACTAGTAATATAGGTTATCTCACTAGCAATATACAGCAAACGTAAGGAGGAAGAGGGGGCGGGGAGGGGGTTGGTAGGTAGGAGGGGAGAGCACAATTGACAATTTCTAAAAAAGGTCTTTTATATTTTGATGTTTCTATAAAAAAGAGAAAAAAAAGTCCTTCACCAAAAAAAGTAGGAGGCATGTGCCCCCTAGCTCATGGCGTCGTCAGCCTTGATATAAAAGAAAAGACAAAAAATACATCAAATTATCTGCACAAATCGGCGAGTCAAGTAAAAATAAAATGTTGGGCCGACAAATCGCGGGTTTCTGAGGTATTATTAAATTTACGTTTGTTTAGAAATTATGTAAAAATCTAGGTTATAGAAATACCGAAATTTTTTATCAAACTCTTAAGTAAGTATTTCTTAATTTTGTAACCTTTCAAGTATATTTGTTTAATTTATACGTGTTCTTAAAACATCTAATACTGTTTTAATAAATTTAAATCAAATCAAACCAAATAATTTGAGCACGAGTTGCAATAAAATAAAAAGCTTTATTTTTTTATTATTTTTTTTATTAAGTACAATTTAATTTTGTTTTTATGTTTTAAACTTTTAGTATTTTTTTTCCATATTTTTTCTTTTTTCTTTTTTTTTTTTTTTTTTAATTACAAAAACTTAATAAAGTAGCTTAAGTGAAAAGATTTGTTAAATCAACATTTTGGTCTTTACCCACAAATTGAATTATTTTATTGCAAAAAAAAAGATTAAAAAATAAATAAATAAAAAAAGATTCTAGTTAAATTTTTGTGACTACGCAACAGGTTTGCGAAACCGGTTTCGCAAACTATTTCTTTACATTTAAAATGTAAAGAAGTTGTTTGCCATAGCGAAAAGAAAAATATTTGTGTGTTTTCAAAACAACCGCTTTACACTTTTTTTTTAAACTTGTATACAAAATAATTACTTTTCTTTTATTTTAGATCAGTGGTTTTTTTGAGAAAAATCAATATTAAGCCACCTGGGGTCTTATACTCAATTTTCCGGTAAGAGTAGGGGAGCGCTAGTCAAAAATTTTATACAAAAAATATTAAAATATTGTTATAATACATTAAAACAAATAAAATTTTCAAAATTTTGTTTATTAATATTTGTTTTATTTAAAAAGCACCAAAGGATGTTTTGACTAACGTTTCGTTAAACTTAACGGAGAGGTGTTACATTCAAATTGTTTTCTTTTGAAAAAATTAATAAATAAAAGATAATTTGAGAAGAAAAAAAAAAGTCCTGGTATAAGGAAAGATTTGATTTTCTATTGTTATTGATTGAGTGAAAATTAACAAAAAACTAAAATAGCATACCAGGGGGTTTGATGTAACTAGAGTAAATTCTAGTTATTATCAAACCCTCTGGTTTAACTTTAGCTATGAAAATCATTTTTTTATTTATCTACTTGTTTTGAATAAAGTAAGTTTTATTTCTATAATGTAATCTTCCATGATTTTAAAGTGTTTTGAACTCTTTGTACAACTTTTATCCGACAAATGTGTTCTGACATTATAAAACGTCCAGTTTATCTGAAAAATACCTATCACCTCACCAATGGCTATTTTGGGCACACGCCTGAATACGCGAGGAAGATTAATTTTTTTAACTTTGCAAACGTTGGTCTTCGTTTTCAAATTTTGTTTAACTTTGCTGACGTTGGTCTTCGTTTTCAATATTTTTTTAATCAGTTGATCTAAAGTTTTATGAGAGTATTTTTGTTCCATATTGCAATCTACGTGGTGCCTGCCTCAAAAACAATGTTTTTTTAACCCTCTAGTGACCCAATTTTTTTTCTTCACCAAAAAATTATGCTAGGCTAAATTGAGGCTATTAAAACTCAATTTCAAGCTAATTTTTTTCTAAAGTAAAAAATATGACCTCCAGTCCCGATTATATGATCTCCGCCTTGAGGCGGACCTGAGAAGTTAATACTAAAAGTTCAGTTTTATGCTGGATCAAATAATTATAAATATTTTATTTTTTACTATTTATTATTGAATAATTACAAAAAATTTTATATCATTGTTTATGAAATATTGCAAAACAATTTTTCGCTGCAGTGCAACATAAATTTATATTACGTTTAGAGCAAGTTCATTGCGTTTCTGATTTGCACCGAGGCAATTTACATTGGCGCTTTCCGGATCTGTCCAGCCACTGAGGAAAGTGTTCTTTGCCATCAAATCTGATGTCTACAGCTGGCAAATATGTCCTCTTGCCCAGTCGTTTAGGGGCGGGATCTTCTTTTGCATTTGTTGATCGCGGTCTTTCAACAGATCTCTTTTGCGGTTCATCTGTTTGAAATCTGCAAAGCATTGCAGACACTTCTTTTCTGAATTGTGGGAGTTGTATATTGCATGCTGTATTTTGTCTCTTTATCCTCTTATGTAATAAATATGCATTTATCATGGCCAAGTCCAACACATGATAAAAGAAACGACTAGTCCACTTTACTGTTTTCATGCGAATATGATATCGACCCAAAAGACCGTCCATTAGGTCGACACCGCCCATGTGTGCATTGTATTCGCGGATGATATTTGGGCAATCAATTTCTGTTCTCTTCTTTTGGGCACGATCATATCTTGATGCCTTCAGGGTGTTATTACTTTCATTTTTAAATGGTAATACTCCTACGTATGTTGAGGCCAAAAGAACACCTTTGCTGTCTTTCCACAGTGTAGTCGACAAGTCTACTCCATAACAAGACCCTACATATTCAGTTGAAAATCCTCGAGGTTTCTTCGCAACTTCTTTATCTGTTGGCAATTTGCAATTTGCAATTCGATTTGCCCGAAGAATATATTCCTCTGCTATACAGATATATCATCAATGGCAAAGTCGAATAATAATTATCAAAATATACAATGTGATTCATGTGATAAGGGATTATTTGCGATAATCTTGAAACCACATTGGCTGCTGCACCTAAATCCGGTGCTCCATTTGGAATTTTATTGTCACTTGCTCCAGAATATAACTCAAATCCGTATGAAAACCCATAGGTGTCGCACAACACGAATAGTTTCATGCCCCATTTATGTGGTTTTGCGGGCATGTATTGCCGAATATGCGAAACCATTTTTGTGGAACACATCTGTTCGTCTACACACAGGCGTTGAGACATTGGTACCGACTGAAAACGTATATTGAAGTATTCAATAATTGGCCGCATCTTGAATATCGGATCAAAATTGAAATCCCTTTGCGCCGGCATTTTGGTATTGCCGTTGAAATGCAAATAACGACGTATTTCTTCAAATCGATTTTTGGTCATAGTTTTCCGAACTGGTTCAAATGAATTTTCTCCCCAATATTCTCGAGTATTTGGGTATCTGTATATGGACGTATAAAACAAAATTCCGACATATTTTTGTATTTCTGCCGGCGTAGTTACAAATTTTGTTGAAATACTCATTTGGCGAGCATAAAGATTAGTTGTATTTGCAATTTCCTGATATAATTTATCTTCCAAGAAATATTTAAAACATTCATAAGGAGTTTTCAATTCATAAAAACGCGCCGGTAATTCTTCATTTCCTCTGAATTGTATTTGTTTTTTCTCTAGCTGAATATTTTTCTTGCGCCACAAAATATTTTTGAAAACTATATTTTTTGAGTCTCGGTAGAGGATCCAATAAAAGTGTTCACAAAATTATCATTTTCAACTTGCTCTAACTGAGGTTTTTTGGATTGAGATGGTCCTATTTTAATTTCTTCAGATTCAACAAGTTGTATTTCGGAATTTGAGGTACCAGGCTCAATATTGGTTTCGTCCATTGCGGTTATTATTTCATTCGTTTCATCGGCGTCATTATCTAAGATATTTTCCATATTGAAATGATGAGCGTTAGGAAAAAAATCGGGGTCATCATCCGAAAGGAAATTATCTTCAATATCAGTATCTAATTCACCTGCATCTATTGAATCTAGTAAATTAAAAACATCGTCCTGTGACATCAACTCGGGATCGTAAAATTTATGTCGTTCCATCTCTGAAATGAAATATTTAGCAATGTATAAAAAATGTTTCTCAATTACAAGTTATATCAAAAAAATATAACTTGCTGCCCAAGTCCGCCTGGAGACGGGTATCAAGAATAGGGCAAGTATAATATTTGTATGAGCAATTATTCATTCAAATATATTTTGTTGCAATGCTAAATAAAGTACAAACTTACCAATAATATTTTTATTCAATTGGGGGCATTACAAATATTTTTTAACAATTTTCCAATCACTGACACAAAACTAATCGTAGTAATCGCTGCGAAATAACACTGCACGGATTATACAAACAAAACCACGTGCTTTATTGTCTATAGGCGGACACGAGCATTACGCTAAAATTTCTAGCGATGTAATTTTTACATGGATTTTTATAATACCCGCCTCGAGGCAGTTTTGGGAACTAGAGGGTTAACTTAGAGGCTAATTGCTTTCTTCGTCACTTAAGCAATACGTCACTTAAGCAATACGTCACTTTAGCAATGCGTCACTTTTTTTTTTACAACTTCAATATATTTACTCTTGATTACGTTACAGTTCTACGATAATATGCATAATATAATGCAACGTATAAAAAATGTAACAAAGTATAAAATACGAAATTTAACAAGTTTAACAAAGTATAACGTTAAATTAATAAATAATGTTTCTTATCATAAAAACTAACAATGTTTTTTGAAAAGTAAAAACTATTGCTTCTTTAAATATTAACATATCGTTGTAAATGAGACTGGTAGAAGACTATGAAGTCTTATCATCGAGTACCTCTTTAAATGGTTAAATAAAATCTAATTAAATTTTATATATAGTCAAAAGTGGTTAAACAATTTACAGTCAGTGATACACATAAATATTTTAATTGTTAAGTTTAATACATGCCAATATAGTTAATGATATTAGGGAAGAGGTGTTTAAACTTTTTTTTCAAGGTGGCAGGGTTATTTAATTCTTTAAGTTCTATATTTTTGGATATTATTTTGTAATATAGGTACAGACCTCATATAAAATAAAGAATTTTTAGAATTTTGTTGTTTTTTCAGGTAATATGAAGTTCCCTGTTGCATTTGTGACCTATTAGAGTTAATTTAAAAAAAATCTTAAAATTTTTTTTTTTTTTTTTTTTTTTGAGGTTATTTTAGGTGTTCCCAGAAGTCCATATGGTCTTATCACGAAGCACCGCGGGAGAGCATTTAACTAGAAGTTCACGCCTCCTTCCTTACCAATGTCGTTGGGCTAGAGCCGGCGTCGAACCACGAACCTCTAGGATCTGAGCCAGAACTCCAACCACTGCACCACGGCTGCTCAAAAATGCGATAGGACTAATCCAAGATTTTCGCCAATGAAATATTAACGTACGTAAAATAACTTTGGATGTAAAAGAGTAAGATTTAAGATTTTCTTGGAACAACAAAAAATTTTCTTGGTTTTACTTTGTTAATCATCTCAATATTTTTATAAATTTTGGTATTTATTGTACGAATATGTATGAATATGAACTTTTTGAGATATCTTATTGTCATTAAGTATCCCAAGAAATTTAGTTATTTCTGTTTTTTCAATATTTACCTTATCTATTTTTAGGGAGGGAAATATAGTTGATATATTATTTTTTTGCTTTTTTGGAATAAAATAATTTGTACTTTATTTTTTTCTGTATTTAGTGATAACATATTTAAATTCAAACATGTTTAATTTTTTAAGCTCTTTGTTTATACATTCGTAAAGATCTTTGGTTGAGTTCGATTAATAAAATAAATTTGTGTCATAGGCAAACATTATTACATTTATTTTTGTCGAGGTTTTTGTAAGTTTGATAATAAATAGAAGAAATAGAAGGGGTCCAAGAATAGAACCTTGGGGGTACCCGAACTCCATTCTTAGTAGTTTTTAATGTATATAATCGTTTGAAATTAGACATTGTTGCCTGTTGCTTGGGTAGTTTTTAAACCAGTCGATGGTGATTTATCCATTGTTTTCTATCTTTTTAAGTAATATATTATGATTTACAGTGTCTAACACTTTCGACAGGTTTATAAATATGCCTAGAAAATATTGTTTTTTTATCAAAAGAATCACTTTTTCATTAACTAGATCTCAGATTGCGTGATCAGTTGAATAATTGTAAATGGAAACCAAATTTTTTTTCATTTAAAATTTTAATTTGGGTTAAATATTCGTATAATCTGTTATAGGTAACTAGTTTGAGAAACTTAAAGAAGGTAGGGAGTACGAGATAGGTCTATAGTTGTTAATTAGTATGATTCACCTTTTTAATGCACAAATGGTAAAAAGAACTCTTAGACCATCTATACCATGACAGAAAATGTTGTTGAATACAAAATAAGCAAAATAACAGTAGAACATGACCTAAGTGTTTGATCTCATCAGACATTGTCAATAGCGATCGACCGAAATACTGGTATCGGTTTCTGTCGAACTTTCAATTTGAACCGATACCAAAACTATCGAGAAATAGTTATTTTTAAGAATTTTCACAAAACATTTACTAACTTTAAATGAAATTTTAAGCCCATTATTAACAAATTATTTAATTTTTTAGTTACTAAATAGCGCGTTATCGTGTTCTTCTTAAAAATATCAATTCAACAAATAATCAAGCCATTGAAATGCCCATAATATTTTGACTGATAACGTTTGTTTAAAAAAAACAAGTTTGCTTAACAATTCGAGTAGTAATGCCAAATTGGCCCTTGCGAAAATTGCCAAAAGATTTCTCACCTCTCCACCATCATCAACTGATTTGGAAAGGTTATTTTCAACAGTTGGAGATATACTAAGTAATGAAAGAAACAGACTATTAACAGATAACCTCGAAAAAATTTTGCAGAGAAAATTTGACAGTTAACTCTTGCTATTAACTTATATCGCCAAATTATGTATAATCTCAATTTCTGAAACATGTGTAATCAACTTTAACATAATACACGCTTAAAAAACAACAAATGTAAAATTGCATTTTTAAATAAATATTTTTAATGAAATAAATTTTGACTACCCGAAATATCGATATCGGTTTCGGTAAAATACTTGCCGTTTCGGTTTCGGCACCAAACTAGAGAACCCAAAATTTTGCTTTATTCTGGTTTTGGCTTTTTGTCTGTTTTGGTTGATCACTAACCATCAAGTTAACGTAACACCAGCAAAAGCTCAGAATGTACTCAGAATCATTAAGCGTACTTTCACTCATTTAAATATAGAAATGATACGTATTCTGTACACTGTGCTGGTTAGACCTCACCTTGAGTTTAAAATGCCTGCATGGACCCAGTGGACATTTGTTTTTAAAAGTTACGTTCTAAATGTATTTTAAATGTCTTTTAAACGTCTTTAAACATTCTTACGTAAAGAACATTTAAGAGACGTTTAAAAAACTTTTAAAAGATATTTAGAACGTAACTTTTAAAAACAAATGCCCTAAGGGGAACTTTACTTTAAAAGGTGACATTGAAATACGAGTAAAGATCCAAAGTCGCGCAACCAAACTGGAACAAAATAATCTGTGTTATGAGGAAAGATTATTCAAAATAAAATTGACTACCTTGGAGGCTTCATTAGAAGCAAACGAACCAGCATCAGCAATAATAGGTCATAATCTAAGAATTGAAAAAGAAAGTATCAAGAATTCTACACAGGTACGTACTGGTGCACCGCGATTCCGGGAAAATCCCGGTAGTCCCTCTTAAAAATTATAAGACCTGGGCCCCCTACCAAATAGGTACCTGTAATTTCAGTTAAACTCAGCAACTTCATTTTATAATATCATTTTTTTTTTTAATTTCTAGAATATTACATTTCTTTAGTAATACAAACTATTAAAATAATGAATTAAATAAGTTGAAAATTGTTTATAATGTTAAAATTATTTTAGATTTGGTGTGGTGAACCTAATTAATGTTATATACTTATATATAATGAAATAACAATATTAAGACAGGACTTTGAAATTAATACACAGAAAAGTCAATGTAAAAGTGGCCTACTATTGGAACAATGAAATATGGATATGAGTGGGAAAAGTATAACTAATAAAACTTCAATAATTATTATTACGTAGTACGCACCATTCCTTGTGTTTCGTATGTATTATTATGATTTTTTTTTTTTTTTTTTTTGTTTAACACATAATAATTTATTAAAAAACTATAATTGCTATTGGCCCCTATATTATCTATTTATTCAGCATTGATCATAGTAATTAATAATATAATAAGATGCTTGTTGTCGAATTTAATTTAATCGAATCAAGAATAATGACAGAAAGCAATTTGTATATGTGCAAATTGTATTTGCACTTTATGAAATTTCTGTAACTAATGATTTTTCAAACAGCGTAAGAAATACAGCTAAAAATTTACTAGGTCTACCCGTTATTAATATATATTACTCGTC